GTAATAAGGTCCCGTTTTATCCTAGTCCACAGGACCCTAAAAAAGCTTTTATGATGCACACAGATGAATTTCAATTAATTGAAAAAAAAAGTGTTAGTATATATGACAAGTGTATATGACAATCTGCTAAACTTTTTGATTAATTACATATGAAATGATGTCATAAAATGTTTTGAATATCGTATTCAATAAACGCCTTAAACATTTTTAAAACCTTGGACAATAATTCCGTTCCTTTATTTAGAAAAATCATACACAGGGTGAATTTCATGCGCTGTGAGTCATGTACTCTGAAATATCAATAAGCTTAAATTATTCAGAATGATCTCGTGAATATTGTCTCTATGCTATTCTTTGGAATCTTAAATTATTTTCAAGCAATATCGAAGCGATAATAAAATTTTTCTATAAATGAAACTAGTTTGTTGTATACCCAAAACATTGGCGTTGTTAATTTCCATTCGACTGCGCTACGTGTGACAGTTTCAAACTCATTACAGTCAATTATATTATTTACAAATACGAGGTAGATATTATAACAGTAGCACGCCGAAGCTGAGGCACTCTAATTACGCCAAGTAGTGTAATTAGATTGCATTTCTATAGACTGCTATCTCTTTCCGCATCTTACGTTCTATATCAACTGTCTCATTAACTTAATATGTCATACTAGCTGTTAACCGCGGCTTCGCCCACGCGGCCAAAGGAAAAGACTTTTTTATTTTACACCAGAATATCTCGCAGATGGCTGAATTTTTTCCTAATTGTTGAAACTTATGATTACCCATATTTTGGACAATTAACACAATACCTTTATAAATTATAACCTATGTTTTATTCTGATGTATAAGCTATATTATTGTAAAGTTTTATTAAAATCTATTCAGTAGTTTTTGCGTGAAAGAGTAACAAACATCCATCCATACATACAAACTTTGGCGTTTATAATATTAGTAAGATAATGTAAAGCGGAACAATTTTTATACGCCGCGTAGTATGGACATGCACCATCTTTATTAAAACATCATTTATTACAGTGATGAAATTTTCAGTTGAATTTTTTTTTAAACCTAGTCATGTGTGTATCGTGAAGGTAATAATAAATCTACACTCTAGAGTATAGAGTCTAGGTGTATCATATTCTTTGGGATACAAAAATTTACAAAAATAACTAACAATAAATAAACAAATGCTTACGAAAAAATTCTTCCAGAACCTTCTGCGTTTACGAGCAAATAGACGTGGCAGTGAAGGAATGTGAATGTGCTGGAGCTGCGAAATTTTAATAATGTAGATACCTATCGCCTTTGTAATGATGATATAATAATCATTTTTTTACTAACGAAAAACAAAACCGACTTCAAATATCTCGCTCTTTATACATTTGATAATTAATTTTCAGAAGTTCCCTAAGTATCTCCGGAGCCAAAGATTCAATACTTATGAAATTATATGGTAAAAAAAAAATATTAGATAGTAATGAAGGTGTATGGTACCACATGGGAACCTCCTCCTTTTGAAGTCGGTTAAAAAGTATTTTTTATATAAGATACATTTTTTGTCGTTTAATATTTAATATGATATTTGAGATTACTAAATAATAAATTTGTATTAATAAGAGTGAATGTTAACGAAACAAGTCAATTTAAAGCAAGACTTTTAATTTGTATCTATGCACATAGTCAGACATTCAAACATTAAGACTGAGTTCTTTACTATGCAGAATTATATTTATTTAACTGTTCTTTGAAAATCATAGTTTATAAAATATTTGTACCAGGATTAAGTATATAGGCTAATATGACTAATCTTTTAGATGACAGAAAACTAAACACTAATCATTTCAATGTAATATTATGTAAATATTTATAGGTACGAGTACTAATAATGCTAAGCCACTTAACGGAAAGGGATTACATTGTTTACAATTATAAAATTAATAATAAATAAAAAAAACTTAATTTATTTTATTGACCATCTCTGCAACATCCTTCGATGTGTCAGTTTCCCCTCCAGTACAAAATTACGAGGCAAAGAAGCTCTTATTTAAGTGTGTTTAGAATACATTTTTGTTAATAGCAGATATGACGGTGTGGCTAAGAGGTACTTAAAAGAGCTTAAAGAAGAACTTGACACAGTTTCGTACAAGTCGCGCTCTGTGGCAATGTCTCAAATAAATAACTAACTACATTTGGTACATAACAAGTTTTGAACGGCCAATTCTTAAAATTACTGAGGAACAGCTTGTTCCTTCTGCCCCCAAGTATAATAAAATATATAAGATATTGACTGCAAATTTCATCAACATTACAAAAAATGAGATTTAAAACAACGAAAATGTCTAAATTACAAGTGCGTGTTAAACAATTTTCGACGTTTTTTAAAATGCAATTAATTTTTGTTTTTTAACTTGAGCAAGAAAATTCTTCCATGTTTGCCAAACCGCATGCTCAGCGGAGCTACTATGTCAAAATCGTTATGATGAAAGCTCAAGATATGCGGCCATTCCCCGGCGCCCCTTTTATTTAAAATGGCGTATCGCAATACGGGCCTTACCCTACCCTCCTGGCCTCACCACTGGCATTAGCGGTGCAACAGTGGTGGTAACCAACACTCCTCTACTCCCACGAATCCACCTCGGTTGCAGAGGATACGGAGAGTGGCCCCACTTCTACCACCCTGAACTTGTCCACCGCACTCCACTTATTTCTGGCTACTGCTGCGATTCTGGCTACCAACAACGATGACTAGGACCTAGCATAACGCACAAATATTAAGGGCTGACAAAAATATTGTTAAAAAAAATAGAAATAAAAAATATTGCTTAAAAAAATATAGCAATAAAATAAAATAAAATAAAAATAAAAAATATAGCTTCAAGAAGAGGTAAAGAGGCTGCGTTGGGTGTAATATATAGCGTTTGGGATTATCTGAAGTCCGAAACAGGAAAGGACACGATAATCGACGAATCCAGCATCCTGTCTTACCACTGGGAAGGCGACATACGATCCCAAACAGGTGTCAGATTTATGGTAGTCATCTCATGTGTCACTATGTCTCATGTGTCATGTATCGCAGGTGTCAGAGGAGAGACTCTCCTGCTTATTAAATCTATATATTTCATTTAATTTTTACAAAATAATTTCTTCAAAAGTCACCCCCACAAGAAGGGGCCCTTTATTAGCTCGGATTTTATTTTAATAGATATTGACTTCATTATGACGAACATACGGCAAATATTAAATAATTTCTCTGTGATGAAAGGCATTAAGACCGGCAGTGACCACCGATGTGTGAGAGACACATTGAAAGTTAACATTAAGCTGGCATACACTTCATCCGTTTAGTGCCCATATCCGTAACCCCAAAAGCTTAGGCGTGAGTGTAGGACGGTGAACGGTATTAACGCCAAGCTCGTTGAAACTGTGCATGATGTGGGTTATAAGTATATAAGTATATAAGTATATAAGTATATATATATAAGTTATATAGAAGCCGCCGCACAAATAGAACCCAAAACTCTCCCATCACACTCTCAAACTCAAGGAAACAAGACGTAAAACGCGGCTGCAGTCTTCAAGTGACACGTCATACCACAGGCGACTTTCAAGACCAGTCGTGTTGAGAGAGCTATACAAAGAAACTAAGAAAGGACGAAGTTGATGCTAGACAACGGGGCTATCGTTTCCCCTAGGACTAAGGTTCTGAGGGGGATTCTATTGTCTGTACACATCGTCGTTAGAGCCACACACGTGTAAATAACAACCCAAGAACAATAATTATTCGGCACAATTTCGAAAATAACGAAAATCGGACGTCGGAAGTACGAGCGAGATTAGAAAGGCACATGACCAATTTAAGAATGGCAAAGCCCCAGCAGAAAACGGAATTACAGCCTATCTTCTAATATCGGGCAGAGAAACGGTACTGGTGGTCCTAAAGAAGCTGTCCTGTGTGGTAGTGCTACGCCAGATGCGTGGCGCAAAATCGACCTCTCGAAAAAATGTTTCTCATATTTTGTGAAACAGCTACCTATATCTTATATCTATATAGATCTTATTCCAGAGTTTATTACGTAATCCATATTTTAAAGACGTGAATATATAAAAATGTCCGCACGTTGGGGAATTTTATTATTTTAACCCCCACCAAAAATTAAAAGTCTCTTATGAGTACGTACATACATGTCACGGTGAGTAATGATCAACGCCCATTCAGGGCTTTGGAGCAGATACGAAGTCGTCAATGTACGCAACTTGTGACGTAAACCCCGTCATTCGGCTTAGAGCCTGAGGCTGTTGGAACATCGCAGCGCGCAGCGGCAATCGATCGGTTGCGCGCGCATCTCGGCCCTCCTGGCCTCAGTGAAGAGCTGAGCCACCATTCGTGTGTTAAATCCATGAGAAATGAATCAACCTCGCGAAAAGTGAGTGAGGATCACAATTCGTAGCCCGTGCATTGATTTATCAATTCGGTGAAACGCCAAACAAGGTCAGTTAATCGTGATATATTCGGTTTGTATGTTACCCAGAGAAAACCCTGTTTTACACAGTTAATATTCACTTTATTTAGGGTCTTTGTGGTTTTATAGCAAATATTATTTTATACAAGACCAAGAAGTGTTGAAATAAGATTTCTTTAAGGTGGATTTCCAAAAAAATAAAAATTAAATATCATGTACAGCTCTTTTAAAATTCACATTCTGTAATGTTTTGATAATCAATTCTATTTATTTTATGCATATATTAAATATATCTTCGACCCATTCATAATTATGGATTCATTATATTTGTGTTTCTATCACTAACAGCTATTTAATTACGTTTCTTCCAAAACCAACTTTAAGTGAATTAAATACTAAAACTTGAGTTTACGTGACAGTTTCAACTTCCAATTTTGTCTATAAATCGATTAGTTTAATAGAGTGTGATACTGTTTGCAAAGTGAAGGAGGAAGAAAATGATTATTTGATTATTAACGTGTAACCTTTGACAGCAGATATGTCGCCATTACGGGGAGCAATGCTGCGATGGCGCCGCCAAGCGGAGATCCTATCTACCACCATAAAACCCAGCGCTATGCCTGTCATCAATGGGTCAAGTAAGACATTTTCTTAACTTTTATTATTGCACACATAACATCAAAGACCGTACAAGTATCTGCCACCAGTACGCCAAAGGATTTGAGATTCAACTTATTAGAAAATTAAGTCATTTCAACAAAAGATTTACATCTTTGTTAAACATACTAAATTACATAATATTTTGCTTGCAATATTGTTGCGTACTTGTTAAATATATAGAATGTTTTTCGTTTACACGAAGTACTCATTAAAAGAACATCGTTGCAATATCAATATCATAAAATAATTAAATTTAAAAACAAATACTGAATTACAAAAGCAATACCCATATAAATTCAAATATTTATGTTTCATATAAAACGATAAAAATCGTTTTATATAAAACAAAATATGCACATAAAATGTCGGCGAGATGTTGAGAACATAATTTTCTGGTAGTGGGTTAGTACACTTTGGTTCAAAATTAAATTAAATCACTTTTTGCGGAGCTAGCCATTAAAGTTGAGATGTTTCTTATAAACATGAACCAATCAAGTAAATAATAAAAATCGTTTTATAGAAATAAAATATGTGACTCGATAAAAGATAAAACTTTAACTTTTTTTAGGTAATATCATAGCCCCCAATTACGCTAATAAACTCGTTTTATACCGCTCAATATGATACTTGGTTCCATTAAAAATTGGGTCAAAAAAGTGGGAGAATCCTAGTCTACAGAACCACGCAAATAAAATTTCATCAGCGCCGACGTTGGTCATTTTAGAAATAATTTGATTTGGCTTGTGATAAAAAGTTTTATGTTGCGTCACGCACACTGGTGCCGTGAAAAATAATGATAAAACCATTCAGACAGACATAGCCAAAAATATTCCCGAAAAATATAGACGAAAATCTAATATATAAAATTCTCGTGTCACGGTGTTTATTTCAATTGAACTCCTCCGAAATGGCTCGACTGATTTTCATGAAATTTGTTTGTGCATATCGGCCAGGGTGGAGAATCGGACAACATTACATAATATATTTTTCATCCCCCTAAATGTTAAGGATGGTCCACCCCAAATATTTTTTTCTACCTACAAATTCCTTAGAAATAATTTATACGGCAAGACAACGTTTACCGGGTCAGTTAGTTAATTATATAATTAGAAGCAACAAATAGCCATCTACCAAAAACCAATAGATAAATGTCTTAAAAAATTAAATGCTTGAAAATAAATGTCTAAAATTTATTCCTTTTTTTAAAATTTCTTAATTTAATAATTAATTAAATAAGATTTCTTTAAAATAAAAGTTTTAATTTTTAAAACTAGCACTTAGGTCCCCTTTTGGAGTTTCAACTTTATTAATTGTATGTTCATTTACCTACTGCCTATCATAACAGGTTGGTTAGTTTTTAGTTAGGTTCGAATAGCAGATATATAATTATTTTTACTTAATTTAGAACTATTTTTCTCTATTGGAAATTGGAATTAAGTTTTTTAACGTCAAATGCTTCGATTAAGATCAGATAGGTACTCGTACAATAGCATACATTTTTAGTTAAGTAGAAAGCCGCCAATAGTTGTAAAGGTGTCGAAAAAAATTGTTACATGGGCGCTTTTCCACACAAGTAAATGAAAAAAATAAAATTAGAACACATCACAAGGAGAAATTTTCATTTATTAAATAATGTGCCTCACTATGAGTAAAAAAATTGACGCCAATATTACTTCTTATTCTAGATTAAAACAAATCTTCAATCAAATTGTAACGGATAGTTTACAAGTGTAATTTTCGAGTGAGCATATACAATAATTAATGATTTTTTTTATTTTCCACTCAATGATATTTTGCACTAGACGTTTTCGTGGCAAACCTAGAAAGGGATGCACCTCACACTTATGCTAAAGTGACAAATACTTCCCGTCCTCTTCATCATTAAATATTACTTTAATCACGCAATCCTTTTTATATCATTCAAACAAAACGTCTGAATGTGTGCTGTAATTCTATTTGGAAATAGGAACATTTTCGAACGGTGATTTTGTATGCGTATAACATATCAATTAAAATGTCATTGGTTTCAAAAATCTATCCTAAACATTTCATTAAACAAACTATGTATAATGACGTACTCTTCTTGTTTCTTTGATAATAGGTAGTTAATTTTTATTGTTATTTCGTTTTCTTTTAAGTTTTTCCTTAATTTCTTCTTAAGCATTAGCACCTGCGTCGCCGGGCGGTACAGGAACGGAGCCTTCGGTTACAATGACAACTACTACTCAAGAATCAACAGCAGAAAAGGTGGCTGCAGAAGTCGCTCATAAACTAAACATGGAAACTTGGCAGCTGGTCGCTATTCTTGTCGGTAAGCAACAGTTATTATATAGACTTTATAAACAACTGTCGAAGAAGAATACGTTGCTCATGTTTGTGACAGTTCCTGACGTGTCTAGTCCAACAGTTGATGTGGTTGCGAGAAATTCTCTATATTATTTAACAGTTTAGTTTAGACAAAAATAACTAACATAAATAATTTCAAGAAAGTAATTATTCAGAACTACTACTTCATCAACCTCAGTAGCTCTAATTATCACACTCGTGTTTCTTGCTGACCCATTTCAATTGGCATTTTGGCGCTCTGGTTATACCAGGTTACTAGAACTCCTCCTCTGCGCACAGATCACCCAAAAACCCCCTGCAAGTACTACTTACATACGGTTTTCTTAACTCTAATTGTATACCTATGTACGTAAGAAGATATACTAGCACTTTAGCGTAACAAAAGAAATGTAAATAAAAATTTTATCCCTTGGGCCAGTCAGTACTCTTTGTTGGTGAAAAAGTAATTAAATGCAATGATTTAATTAAATAAATTAAAACAATCGAATAAAATATCAAAAAATTGTTTATTCGTTAACATGAAGTTGGTCGCTTTCATATTCATCTTCATCGAATTGCTTTTTGTCTGTCAATGTGCGCGCGCATTGTAAAAATTTTACTGTCATATTTTTTCTGGATGCGCTAAAAGAATTATAACTTTAAAAATATCATATATTAATTTTGGAGGAATTCTGTCACGAAACTACCTAACCGTTCAAAATTTATTTTGTTGTAACTTTTATTAAATTTTTCTTCATTCATTATTAAAAGTTAAATAATAATATAAATATTATTGTTGTGTTGTACATTAGGCGTGGGGGTGGTCATCCTCGGCATATGTTTCTGTTGCATCCGGCGATGCTTCCGCAAACGGCGTTCGAAGGATGGCAAGAAGGGAATGAAAGGTGTAGACTTCAAGTCCGTCCAACTCCTCGGGTCAGCCTATAAGGAGAAGGTAACGTTTGAACAATTAAAATCGGTTACACTTCAGAAGGAAATCAATTTAAAGACGGAAAGATTTTTCACACATTTTCACTTATTTTACCTAGAACAAAAATATCGCCATCATTTTAAATATACTAGAAGAAAACATCATTGATTTCTTGTTTTGACGCGAGTATTATGCATAATAAATTAACTCTTATACGGACTTATCGCATATTTTAGACCGCCCCAACTTTGATTTGAGAAACCGAAAATTCTCGGAAGATCAAATCACATCCAATTCCTCCCAAGGCCAATCCGCGAGGCTATTAAAATAAAAAACATCCTAATTTCAATAGATAAGATGGTTGGGGCTTATCATCAAATTGGGATCCCATAATTTATAAAATTAAATCCAAACACACAGCACAACACTGCTAGACCTTAATATACCATAAGCTCCTTTTGCGTAGATCTTAATAAAAATAAATAATAAAATAATTGACGGTGGCCCAAGTCAACTTTGACATCAAGACGTTAAATAACTCAGTCTGCCCTAGGATTATGAACGCTGTAAAGGGCAAGAAACGTCGGGAATTAAAAATTAAAATTAAAACGCGATAAAATCCGTAAAATAGTTTCATTTACAACATTATCAGTTATATTTAAGAAAATGTGACTTTGATCAATCTGTTTGTGAATTGAGAAAATGGCAATGAACAACAAAATAGTTTTTTCTGTGTACATATGAACCCTTTTTACTACGGAAAAATTTGGAAATGAAATGCTTAGGTGTGAGAAGATGGCAAGCGAGCTGGCAATTCACCTGATATTGAGGTAATCGCCGCCCTTGCACATTTGCAACACCTGTAGGGTTGCAAATGCGTTGCAAGCTTTTAATAAAGCGAGCCCAAGCTACCTCACTCGCCAAACGAAATGCAGAAGTATAACACTCCCACTTCACGCCGGTTTTCTGTGAGGACTACGACCTCACAGAAAAAACTTACCTGGACGGACCTGCCCATCCGTGCAACAGCCGAAGCTGCTGCGTGGTTACCACATGTGATCCTGTTATAAACACCAATGGCCATCCAATCGCAATCGAATATTGACTGAAAATTGAATATCACCCCAATTTCGAACATGGTACATACAGAAATGAAAAGACATTACACGTAAGAAATAAGTTATTCACATAAAGTTTGCCGCGGGACGTGCATGTAGGTTCAGCCGGACATGGAGGAGCTTACTGAGAACGCCGAGGAACCGGACGACGGTGACTCGAAGAAAGAGGAACAGAAGTTAGGGAAACTCCAGTACAAGGTAACTATGCTGCTACACTACAAAGAACGCGGGCACGATGAAGACCCTGTATGTATGTAACTATATGTATATTATTTAATATTAACCAGATATTATTACGTCTATTATATTGTATATGTTTTATTTTATATATGATCTTATTGTATGTATTATAAATAAAAACTGTATAGTGTTTATTTATATTACACATTTCTCTGCAATTATACGGAGCTGCATACTCAGTATGTATGAAGAAACATAATATGGACATCGTTTTTATATCTACGTATATTAAGAAAGCAAATTGCACATGATAATTTAAATCATATTTGGCCAATGAAACAACTTAATTTTGATTCCCAGCTGGAGTACGACTTTAATAGCAACAGTTTGTCGGTTACGGTAATCCAAGCGGAGGAACTGCCAGCTCTGGACATGGGTGGGACCTCCGACCCATACGTCAAAGTGTACCTTCTGCCCGACAAGAAGAAGAAGTTTGAGACCAAAGTCCATCGTAAAACATTGAATCCTGTATTCAACGAGACTTTTGTCTTTAAGGTAAGTAATAAAATTATCTAAGCAGAATTACAAACCGATTTGTGATACAATTTCATTAATCATTTCGCAAATAATAATCATGACTACGGTTGATGAATGGATTACCAGGATACCAAAACTAGAGAAATCACCAAATTCAAAACCAAAAATTCAAACTAGAAAAATCAACCAAATCAATCAATTGACCTTTACATGAAATGACCGAGTGTATTTGTATCTTCTTCGTTCGCAGCGAATCGATACTGCTATAATGAGTCACTATGATTAACATCACGATTTTCGTTCAGAACGTACCGTACGCCGACGCTATGAACAAAACACTGGTATTCGCCATCTTCGACTTCGATCGTTTCTCCAAGCACGACCAGATTGGTGAGGTAAAGGTACCTCTGTGCCAGGTGGATCTGGCACAAACGATCGAGGAATGGCGTGAGCTGCAGAGTGTGGAAGGGGAAGGCGGACAGGTGCGATACAGAGACAATACGAAAATAATCGTACACACAAACTACCTTCAAAAATTTATAAAAATGTACTTTATGAAATTCTTTAAAACCTTGTATACATTCGTTTTGAATTTAACAATAGTATACACTGTTCGTGTTGCGACAACTAATTTTTGTCTATGCTTTATATATTGACTTGCTGTATGTTAAACATAAATATTATATGACATTAATGTTTTAGTTGAATAACACGAAAGTTTTGCTTTTCAGTGAGAATGGTTTCTAAAGAGTGGTAACGTTTGAAGTTCTTTTAAGCATTATTTCATTTAGATATTGTTTATTTAAAATTTAAAGAAGATTTCCTTCGATTACAATCGAAAAACTTTATAAACGGTAAAATTATTTTTTTAAATCGTTAATAATAAACAAATCTGTCACACAAAGCACACATTACGTAATGACATCCTGTTAAAAACAGTGAACCTAACAAATTCTAAACCTATCCTTAATCATCAAAGGATCTAACACCTAGTGTTAACTATAAAACGACATGTTAACATTTAACAGACACCCAGGTCACATCAACAATTTATATTAGTATGTACACAAACTAATAAATAGGTACATTACGGTAGCTATATTATACATGATATCATGCACAGTAATAGTAATAAGGCAACAAATGCAACGGAATACATAGAAGCGCAAAATCAATCGAAAAGACTCTTTATCTTTTTTTTTTCTTAGCTTAGGCTCTACTGACAAAACACACCCACCACTAACAGCAATTCTAACAACTTCCACTAATCGCAACTTTATGTGTGTACTTCAGTAATATATTTTGCAATCGATGGATTTGTTTTGGCAGGCCAGCATTATTTTTGATACTATACTATTCTTTCAAATGATCTTTCGGTGCCTTTTAATTCATTTTGATATTTTTTTTCTTTTTGTTACGTTTAAAACTATAAATTTGAACATAATTGAAAGAATGGTTTACATTTTCTTTAAATTTTACTGCACTTTTTCAAAACTGAGGGCTCTTGACGCATCATATCAAGCTTGAAATTCATTATTTTTATTACAATTTTTATTATTTATGTCAAGACACCTCTATGAAATAAGTCGTCATTTATTTTTCCGAAACAAAAATTAATTTCGACGGCAAAAATGTATTTACTTGGTTTTTTTCTCTTTTTCTCCATATTTTCTCTGCTCTGCTTGGCTGTGTTTGATTGTGTCCTGAACAATCTTGCATGCCGCTTCAAAAACGAAATGATCATTCACGTAAGTATTATTTTGAGACACATCAAGATGTATAATATTAAATATGAAAGGAACACGTTTCATTGATGTTATAAATACACAAATATTTGAATCATAATGAAAAATTCCATACGTTCCGCCATTTATTGTATAAATATCTAGGTACTTCGAAATAGGTAGGTGTATATATGGTTTCTGGGAAAAGAGAGTTCCGGGAGATGTCTTAAATTTGGTCACCTTACCTTTATCACCCATCATACCACTGATTATTTATTTTTTATTTTCTTTTACTCCATCCTACACTTTTTCGTTTATATTGCGGCTGGGGAATGATGCATGCACGTTGTACACACTATTCCTGTTCTATATTCGAACTGCCATTTGTTCAAAGTTTTTAATTAATATAAAAACCAGCAATATTTACATTAAGCCATGAAATAGATATTTAACGAAAGTAATCCATGCCCCAAAAATAAAAAACAAATGGCATTTCAAGTTGGCTAAATACACCACCAGTACAATATGAATGTTTAATACTTTGTTACTGCACTGATGTTAGCTACCGCATTTCATTGTGCGTGTGTTTTTTTTTAATGCTAACATATTGACATCCAAATAGAGGTCCCAAAATGTTCATAACTTTAATTGAACATTGCATATATTCTTGTCATTTTACGAAACATCAAAATAGCAACAACAGATAAACGTTACAAATTTGCTTCACAATCATCTTAATTTTATAATTTGAGACATTGTAAATAAACCCATTATAAAAAGTCACTATATAATGCAAAAAAAGTATAAAAACATAATTATTTTACATACATAATATCAGTATGTTACAGATCGCCGTCTGGTGGACGCAAGGAGAGTTATAGCAGGAAATAGTAACGTCTTTTTTATAATATTATACATTTTATAATTACAGCGTTATAATTTTTGGGACCACGTTATTTAACACGGAATCAATAACGCAATAAATAAATGTATTGCAATAACAACAGTAATGGAAAATAAATATCTGTGTACATATTATTAATGAACAGATACGTGCGTTATGAAACTAATGTTCAAAATTTTCAATATTAAGTATTAAACTTAGTTAGTGTTACCATATTAAGTCACCAGCTAATGCATTTCACCCTGTAGCATTTTTTTATTTGTACAGTGCAATGTTCTCCTTTATTTATATTGATGTGTAGTATATTCCTTACATCCTCGAAAGAAGTTTGGTAAATTGCAAAAAATTATGTTTGCATATCTGCCGTATCTATATACAAAAATTTAAAAAATTTTGTATTTATTAATCGATATTTAAGCATCTTTCGTGGATAATTCTATCTATATATAAATATATGTCAGTAGCAATATAATAATTGCGATCTGTTCCTAAAATGGTTTGTCTTCTTGCAGACTACGGAACATAGGTTAATTTTTAATGTATTCTACTCATATACATATGTAAGTAAGGTATACTTTCTGCAAAGGTGAGCATACATCATCTCCATTTGATGATTTGAGCTGGGTGTTAAGGTGGAAAGACATTGGCTTCATTTCGGCAACAGATCGTAATGTTACAAAAGTTTATGTTACCAATATATTTTTGTCAGCGGGAAACTGCTTTATACAAGTTATTAGGTTTGATGTGATCGTTAATTTTGGTTCATCCCATAGAGTTTTGTTCCAAAGTTGTGTGCCGTGTTTTATTTAATGTTTTTAGATGGATTGAGGTCAATGTGCTAAAACGTTATATGTAACGCAATGGAAATGTTCGTCAAAGATACATTTTACTGGTTGACTGACTAGTTGCAAACTCCATCCTTTTGAAGGCCACCTTTACCCAACACTTTATTGGCTATGCCATTCCAAGCACGAGTATCCGCACAGTTTTTCGACCGAGCGACCGGAACTATCGGCAAATGTTACACAAAATTGAACATAACAGACATTCATTCACCAGTTTCTCGAAAATCTGTGCCGATAGAAATACCCATAACAAACGCTTTTAGGAAACCTACACGAAGCTATTATTTGTTTTCGTCTGTTTTTAACAAATTATTTACCCTTATCCGCCCTAAGCCGCGATCTGACTTAATAATATTTATATGTGTTACATTCAGCTTATCTGATCCAAAACTAAAAGCTATGTATTCCTTACACAATCTCCTTCTCTGCCTTCCTAAGTTTTCGCTATCCAAACGTACCTTGCCATTATGTCCTACTAAACCAAAAATGTTATTGACACTGATACAAAGATTTTAGGGTTTTTTTTATTTATTTCTAATTAAATAGTCAAACATTCCAACCACAAATATTCCAGTTATTTAATCGAATACAATTTATCTCACTGTATCTGGATTAAAGAGTTATTTTAGTAACATCTGAATGGTTAATCAAATTAATTCGACATGAAAACCTATATATAGAAGAGCTAAAATTGTAATATGCGCTTTTGAATGTATCTTGCAGGACAACAAGTTGGGAGACATTTGTTTCTCATTGCGATATGTACCCACTGCTGGAAAACTTACTGTTGTTATTTTGGAAGCAAAGAATCTGAAGAAGATGGACGTGGGTGGTCTATCAGGTAAAATCTCATTAAGTAATATATATATATATATAATTCAAACCCTCTGAACAACAACACTGATAACACTAACGTCTACTTTCAGGAATTTTAGGGTAATAATTACTTCCTACGTAAATTGTCGAATAAAGCTTGATACAACATTCATAAACCTAGTATGCATGAGTAGCCATACACCTTTTTCATTATTTTTAGTATTATCATGAACTGCAGTTTATTAAATTTTTATTTAACTCCGATTCATTTTCATATAGTTTTATTACTGCATTCCATAACGGCTACTCTGTGAAACACATTGCATAATAATGTTATGTAAACGTAAAATGGATCGATACTTGACCTATATCAAACAATAATGTAATATTTTAAGCTTTCTTGCACGCACATTAATGAACTTATCTAAGGAAATTTAAAATGTTAAAAATTTATTTCACGCTGAATATTTGTCTCTCAAAATACACGTTCTTTACAAAATTCTGGCAATTAAATCTATTTTTTTACCATACGTCATTTTTTAGTTCACACGCTGTGCAGCTATGATTTCATTTCAGAGCACACATACATATATTATATACAGCTTAAACACTAAATACCATCGAAATACAATTATAGATTATAGAGATTATATTAGGTAGTTTTGCTCAAAGATACGAAAAGATACTCAATTTTTTATACATTTAACATTAAAAATAATTACATAGACATTCCGAAGCATTGCTCAGATTTCTCACGATAATTCTAACGGATTTCTAACATATTGCTAACAATAATAATGATTACATCAAACCGCATCATCACTGAAGTGCGTCGTAGAACTATTAAAGATATGAGATCTGTAGTAATAATACATTCGTAGAAACGTCACTTTCATTGTACATAATTCACATATATGAATAAGTAATAACTGTTATTTGCTAACGTGAAATCTTTGTTTTCATATCCGGAAACATCGGTGATTGGCAACAGATCCGTACGTAAAGATAGCGCTCATGCAAAACGGCAAACGTCTCAAGAAGAAGAAAACGAGTATCAAGAAATGCACACTGAATCCCTATTACAACGAGTCATTTACTTTTGAAGTACCATTCGAACAAATACAGGTGCGAGCCGAGATTGAAACAAAATTAAGTGTTGAAGCGCATGCTATGGTGTACTCTTCGAATGCGGAAGGGGCAGAATTCCTGCGCAGCGCTTTTAAAGCTTTAAATTTCTTAATGTGATACGCTTCCGTCATTCGAATTTGCCTGTATCATGTGCAATTTGGTGTTGTGTACTAATTGTTGTGACTTGGTCGTATCTCACCACTTGCATCCGAACCCTTCCTGGTCCTTGTTATTCTTGTGATGCTACGCTGTTTATAACATTTCTAGAATAGAGAGCCTGCAAAAGAGCCCCTATTCGAGAATTTCGTTCCAATGTATCTAACTATATATAGATACTACTGGAACTACTACTTACTTAACCGTATATACTTTTCTATATGTACAGTTATTTCCAATACTTCTATAAAACTCACATAATATCCGAACCGCTGAACTAATCCTCCGTAGCCTTATTCATCCATTTATTTTATATTTTTCAAAGCAACTATTTAGAATTCTTTTAAGTTGAATGTTGACCTTCATCCATAATAATATGTTACGGATAGAGGTTTTCATTTATTTCTGGAATCTATCTAGGATTGCTTTGATTCATATAAAACTCAACAACAATTCCGTACAAAGTGGTGTTCGAAAATCTCCCCTCGTAACTGCATTATAATTTGGTGACTTCAAATTGTAATTACTTATGGTTTGAGGAATCCAGTCCCTCGTTCTTCTTCTGCATTTCTTCTTCTATTATTTTATCTTTTTATTTTTTTAACTATCTAAGTATTTACCTGACCCGTTATGTTATACCCAACAAAACTAAAATTATATGAAAAAGGCCAAGGTAAGTATGTTACATGTGTACGTGTTAACCTATTGTAGTGCAAGATCATTGTTTGCTTCCGTATTACCTCAGCATGAGCATAATGTTAGTTATTATTAAATGTGTTTTTATAATCTTTTTGAACGAATCCCTTAAACATAAAATTTATTGCACCTATAATGATTTTTAAATTTCATCATTACTAATTTCCAAGACTATTAAAATTATTTCTAAGTATTTAAATTTTCCAATAACATGTTTTAAACTTATAAGATCAACTTCAAAGTGTTTGTTATTTAATATTACTATTCAAAAGTAATATTAATAATAAATTATTATGCAAGAAACTTTAATTGCTTGTAAATTACGAATATTTGCAACGATAGACTTTATTTAAAAGTATTTGTATTTACTTCTTCGGCACTGCCCTTGTAGAACACGCATCCCTTTTGTCCAAAAAATAAAAGATTTTTCAACGTCATCTATTCACTATAGATTTTTCTTATACATTTACATGATACCCAGACAATGCACATAACTCCAGTGCAACATATCCCAAAACTTAGTATTCATAAAGTTGCTTAACATGTTTTCGTCATGTTAGGTTTTGTCCGTTGTATAACAGAGAATGTCATACAATAATTAAAAAAAACTGTTATGCAACGCAAAAACAAGTGCAAACGGAAGTTCGTCACATTATTTTAATCGTATCATGTCAGTGATAATCGCCCACTAGCAAATAATTTCAAGGGCCACCTTTTTTCGTAATCAAAAAAAATCCATTGCATTGTAGTTTGGCTAGCAAACGCTTAAATTATTATAAAAGAAATACCCAAATAATAATCGAACAATGTACCGCAGAAAGTAAATCTAGTGGTAACGGTGGTCGACTACGATCGTATCGGCACTTCGGAGCCCATTGGGAAGGTGGTCCTGGGCTACAACGCATCGGGCACCGAACTGCGTCACTGGTCAGATATGTTGGCTAGTCCTCGGCGCCCCATCGCGCAATGGCATACCCTCAAAGATCCCGATGATGGAGAGAAGAAGGACTAAGAAGAATAATAAGGTACGTTATGTTACGTACGTTTGTACTCCTAAAATGAACGCCGCTAACTTTCTAACTCCGCAAGAAACGCTTCGATGCCCTGGGTCACTTTTTGGATCTTATGGCGATGATACATCATAGGTATTTTGTTGGGTATTTTAGGACCTTAATGATCCATAAAACATTCGAGACAGTAGCGACGACCCGATTGACTTAGTGAATAGTAAACCAGACTTACGCCAGAGGGTATTAGTTCGATACCCAACACTGGAAAAAGATTGTGTTAAAATTGATGAACATATCGTAGTAGTGTCTTGGCATTATTATATGTACAATGTGTATTTATATACAAGAGAAGTATTTTTAAGTATGTTTATCAGTAACTTAGTATCCATAGTACGAGCTTTTCTTAGGTAAGAACTTGATATTATTGTATAAAAATGTGGCCAGAGGAAATAAAAATATGTATTCATAGACCAGGTAATTTATACCTATCTACGTTTAATTTTACAATTTAAATATATAACAAAGAACGATATGTCGGAAGCCTAGTAGTAGATAAGGCATTTCCCCTTTTGCTAAAAACATTGAACACATCATACAAACTAAATAGATGCTTATACCTAACAACTGTATGTATTAATTAATGTAATGAATATGAAGGTCCCAGTGCCGTTTTCACAGGCTGTCCGTTTTTTGGCTTGTCTGGCTTGTGTTCTGTAGATAACTTGACGCCCTCAGAATTATGCCAGCATTGCGTCAATCAACATACAAACCTTTTCCGAAGCTGAAAAACACTGATGCACACGGATTACGTCATATCACGTAACCGTGATATGACGTAATCCGTTCACGGTTTGTTTTTTCGCACTTGACAAAAGTTTAGTCAATGGTCAATGGTCATTTGTTTGATGTGAACAAAGCTCGCGTGTATAACGGTTGCGTAAAGCAGGTCGTCATGCATTTTTTTATGTGAAAAGTTGCCAAACGAGCACACGGTTCACCTGATGTTAAGCGAATACCGCCACCTATGGATATCGGCTACACTCGAGGGTTCCAGATGTGTTGACAACCTTTTGGAAATTGGACTCCGGCCACCTCACTCACCAGACGAAACGCGAAAGTATTATACTTCCACTTTACGCCGGTCTTCTGTGAGGTCGTGGTACTTAGCCGGACGAGCCTGCCCATTCGTGCAACAGCCGAGGCTGCTGCGTGGCCCCACCACCGTACCATGCATCTTATTCAAGTGGACCAAAGTCGAGCTTAATGCCATGGAAAATTCCGCAACATTATGACGTCCTATAGTACGAATCATCCGACATTGTCATTAGTGAGGCTTTGCGTACAGTGGAAGTGTAATTGCTTGGTATTTTTGAACGACCTTCATTGAAGATATCATTATCGTGAAGTAGTGAGTGTAAGAACGTCTTACAGAGGCTACCCGACAAAACCGTACCTAGACATTTTGTGTTCTGAGAAGTCTAAAAGTAATTATACGCGTCTACCACATTTAAATACTTAAATGTGGTGGCCGCAACTATAATATGCATGTACATTTACATTTTCAGATCCCAGAAGCAACAACCAGCCGCAGATGTGGAACCGCGGAGTCGAAGTATATATAGTCTTATTTACTCATCTAAAGATTCTGTTAACATAAACCTGTCCTAAAAATGTTTTCCAATATTTGATGACCTAGTAAGTTGATAAAATTTATTTGACAACGCTAAATGATTATAATAATTAATTTATAATAAAATATTCAGGTATTGAAACCAATACCAATTTATTTAAAATGAACACATTTGCCAAGGTATTATTTAAACAGAAAACTTTACGACAGTATACCTAATAAAATAATAAACATTAAGACGTATAGCCATATTTTATATATTATGTGAATGAATTAAAAGACCAATAAATTGATATTTAATTTTGTGCAATTTACTGTCTGGCTACTTATATAGAAACTACTACACATATATAGTTGGTTGACAAAACTTAAATAATATATTCACGTATAATTACCTAACTTAAAGTAAAATGCCATGTAGCTTCACTTATTCACTATTTATGATATAAATAAACTATCTTACAATTGTACCAGAAATATTTTACAAAAAAAAATATGAATACATAAGTAAGCGATGGCTTTATTTATGACTATAAATTAGGTAATAAATTTCAACTGTAGGCGGTACTATAATTAGGTACATTAACAATGTCTTGCTACATTGCTCCAGATATTTCTTTTTATATAATATAATAATTAACTACATCTCTGTTATGACCCTTGTGTAACTTCAAATATTTCCTAAAGTACCTACTCAAGTTTAAAGTGTACTTTAGAATTCTATATAAAAAATTCTGTTACAAAACGCTATGTAAATAAGTTAAATCCTGTTAAATTTATTACATTCTATTTTACTATCATATAAGTGTTATAGTATTGATACCTTTTAGTGTAATATAATGTTCCTCCAAAGACAAATAATGTTTGTCATGCTATTATTCTATTATCCACTTGCTTCTTTGTTTTAAAATATTTGATATGTAGGTACTATTTCTTTGCGCGAGAATAAGTCTATTTATTTTCTTTGGAGGAACAGTAGGCCTATAACCGTGTACCTAGTTCACTTTAATAATCATGACATTAAAGTTTCTCAAGAAACTTTTTATATCCATTTTCTGTATTTAGTTTTTCCAAAATGTGTATCACATAAAATATTTTGTCTTAATAAGTAACACTGAATTCTATAAATTATTCACTATAAAAAGACATCGAAACTAGTCAACACTTCAGACTAGGAGATTTAATAAATAAAAAAATGTATTATACACTAACTTGTTGTTTTAATAATAGTCTAGATTACTGGGACTATAACAATAAACTTAATAGACTGCCGATTGTATTATTAAATTGGTACTTGGTACAGGACTTGTAACTTACGAAATAAATTTATTTACCTAAAATTAATCTTATTTCAAATATTATTATCATAAAACTATAGAAAGAAATAAAAAAATAAAATTAATTTTATTTTGGTGTGAATAAAATAAGTAGGTACTAAATGTATTTGCATCCTTAGCTCTTGCTTAATGTTGTTGATCTCACACTTGTGTTAATGTATGTATATATATATATATATATATATATATATATATATATATATATATATATATATATATATATAAACACATGTGAAGATTTTTAATCAGATATTATACCATTAGGGGTAGGTGAATTCAAGCGACGTGACATTATCCAGTATAGAAATGCACCAACACAAGTGTGTAGAGTAATTGTTCAAGTTCACAAATTATATACCTACCAATGTATGTTAAAAATTATCATGTTATAATATATATTGTGTCTCCTTCAACAGATTTGTTTGTACTTCAACAATTAAATACCACTGTTCAATAGGGTACTAGTGTGTATTGTCTCATATATAAATAATTTACAACAAGTCTGTTGAATTTTTATTACTAAATATTATTTCTATAAATAACCATAATAGTCTTGTGAAATGATTGAGCCTATGTAGTATTGACACTAGACATTGAAAATGCTGTTGATACTGTATCTTATTTAAATGTTGTAATGTTGAAGTAAATTGATTGTGAATTCTCTCCGCATTATATACTGTTAATCTTGAATCCATCCTTTTATGAAAAAAATCTTATATTGTTTTGAAGTTGCTATGAAGTTTCAATTAGATCCAATGGTAAATGAGATAAAAATATCTTCTGTTCATAAAATCAACAGTTTATTGATTTTGGTATTTTTTAGTCAATGTTTATCAAGATAATAAAAATAATTTACTTTAATATTTTACAGTTAAAATTAAGGGGGATAAGCATAAGGGACAATAAAACACCATGTTGAAAATAAAATAAATACAAATTTATCAATATGTATAAAAACTATGAACAAGCAAAAATTAAACAATATTCATAAAAATTAAGTAAAACAAAACCGTGGGTATCATTAACAGGAAATAACAACAATGATTAACAATGATAAATAATCATGAGTTTTGTTTTTACCTAAAAATGGCTTTTGTCAACACTTGGAGCATGTTACCAATAAACACAATTTCATTGGTCTTTTTTTAATTTTAGTGTTAATTTCAAATGTAAATATATATGTACACTAAAAATTCATATCACTTCCCCTTAAAAAGATTTGCTGTGTTAAATTTGATTTAGGAAATTATTAAGTATTACAATTTTGCTAGTATAAACATTATAATATATTATGTAACCAAACAGAATGTATAATACATTATGACATAGATATTTGTTTTATTTTTATTATTAATTTGTTTGTTTTAAATTGGAAATTAGATGTTTCAGTGATTTAGGAGCATTCTGATAACCATTTAAGGAAGAGACATCTTTATATTCATATGATGTTAAATATATTAAAACATTTTCATTGCGAAATAACTCAAAGAGTAACATGTAAATTAAATCTCTACTGTGAACACATATAAAACAATGGTTCTCATACACAATACTTTGAGACATGTGGTGCTATTAGTCTTTCATGTAATATTTTAGTTATTAAAAAAGAACAATTAAGTTAGTAATTACCTGATAAATCAAAAAAAATTAAAACCAAGAGGCAGTTTTGATAATGTGCTCAGTCCACTCAAGCTTAGGTATGACCTGCACTATGTTCAAATAGCATATCACATGAAATCACCGCAGTACTAATATAACACACACATCCCAAATCTTAAGTCTGTAATTTGATAAGAAATAATTCTAATTAATTTACTAACTTATATTTCTCTACTCAACTACATTTGATACACTAAGACATTAAAAAGAATAGAATAAAATTTAATATACAAGGTTTTAATTTTAAATCGGTACACATTTCAAAAATAGTTTGTTACGGAGTTCAAGAATATTAACAATTTTATTTTATTAGAGTTTCATGGTACCTATATAAAGTTTTTCAGGTTAAACTTTATAATTTTTGTGATGTCCAATTTAACTTCATCATCATAATGATGAAAGTTTTTTTTATTGGATATCCATGGTATACGTGTTAACTTAGAGGTATATAATAAAATTGCTATGGCAAGGATTAATAATTATTAACGAAAATAGCTAAACTTTTAATTATCATCGTAATACCTGCGCTTCATTGCTCTGTACTTCTTTAGCTTATACAACGCTTCAATCTCTTTTACGACGAACTCTCCGTGTTTTATCATTGTTTCTATTTTTTTAGGGTCGGTTTCATCACTGTTCTTGGTAAAAACTTTATGCAGTCTTTTCCTGAAAAGGTCGTAACCTTGAGGCCAATCCCGACCTAAGTACAGCAGCTGAAAACAAATCAAGATGGTCACAAGTGGCTTATTAAAATTTTAGAAGTATTACTTCCATTCTAATATATAATCAATTACACCAACCGTTTTGTAAAGGTTCAAAACTGACTTTCTTTGCATCGACATAGTTCACAATTCAACAATAATCATAATCCTAAGGTACTAAGGCACTAGGCAGCTTTCAAAATGATAACGGACGTCAAAATTTTATCACTATATTTACTTACATGGATATATATTATATAAATACAATGCAAAATCATTGAACAAATGATTGTATAAAAATATAAATTAATCCACTACAGTATTGTTTATCTCTTTGATTGTCAACAAATACAGAATCAAAAAATTCAAAAAGTCATCACATTACACAAATAAATATACAATTATGTACTCGAGTCGTCGTCATTTTGAATTTTGAATAATAATACCATATAGAAAATTTCTTTTTAAACAGCTAAGTACCGATTTGTGTGAAAAAAAACTAAATAATTATCAATTAAAATTTAAATATATAAACTATCAAAAGAAAATATTGTTTGTTTTTAAAAGCACATTATTAATAGTTATCAGTGTCCTACGTTAGACAGGGCCATCTCTTGATACTTTACCGAACTACAAGTTCACATAGCTATACTTTTAAGCATTTTCAATTTTTAAAGTTGAGAGCTGTTTGAGAGTTGAATAACTCCAGTTTTCTATCCAATGTATAGTGCTGTTCCGGATATCCGAATCCGTATCCGCTACATCTTTACCGTTATAATCGTAATAAAATTATAATTATTAATTCTAATTAAGTTAATTAATACACTGTGACATTTACGTCCGGCTTCTGAAACACTGATCATCGACGATCAACTAAGCAGCTGTCAAATGACTTTTCAATTTCATTTTAGTTGCCAAAAAGCTGGTTAAACTAGAGAGTTTAACCAGGTTTTTGAATTCAGAGGAATTGACCAGAATGATCTTCTTAATGATAAGAATTGACAGCTGATTAATTGACATCTACGGTGATCAGTGTTTCAGAAACCGGGAGTCCAACTCAAAGTGTTAACTTTTGATTAAAAACACAGTGACAATTAAAGAAACTGTAAATTGTACTTCAAAAAGAGTAACTTGGCAGCTTTATCCCCCAAATGTCATGATAAAAAATGAAATTGTGCGAACTATTTAAATATAATAATAATAACCCTAACCCTCGGCCGTTTGGTCTCCCCTGCCAAGGGCTTCCGTCTGGTTGGTCCTATTAATATATGTATTATATACAATATTTATATCTATGTATTTATTTTTATTAATAATATTTATTTTATGTAAGCAATAAATATCTATATGTTTATTTTTTATCTATAAACACAACCAGACGAGAAAACAAACAAATATCCCCAACACAATAATAATAATAATCGTTTGTTGTTGATGGATAATTTTTTTTAATATAAATCATCTTTCCAGTGTAAGAAAGTTAAATAAATCACTACGTTACGCGAGGTCGCTACTAACAGTAACGATGTCTTATATTTCAAGCCTTCATCATCATCATTATCATCTCAGCTTGTTTGAGTCCACTGCTGAACATAGGCCACAGGTCGTCACTCCATCTATTGTTGGGTCGTCCTACACTGATCAAGCCTTAATCTTCATCTATCTTACACCTTCTTGATTTTTCTCGTAACAAGACATTTAACAAAGATACCTAAGGAGTAGGTACATATGGAATTTATTTTGTCGGAAAACTATGACGTTTGGACAATGGTTACTTTTTGGTGTTACTTTTACACATACTTATGCATTTACACGGTTGCTTAGGAACGAAACTTTTGTTTGATTTATAAATCAAGAAGCTATTCATTTTTCAGCGAAATGGTAAATGAAGATCCAGAAAATGTAGAAGAGGGTAAGGTTTAATTTATTAAATAATTAAAATTAGAAATAATTACTACATAACTTTATTTGCCAGAGAAGTCGTGGATTCGTCTTTTGGCCCAAGCAAATTTTGGTACAATTAATGTCGGTGGACGTTTTTTTTTTAATTGGATAAATTCAAGTACTGATGCAGTAAAATTTTAATTTGACTTAACAGTATTTCTTTTTTATATTTTAGCTTTTTTTAATTGTACCGCGCTCTTTAACTTTTATATGTGGAAAATTAAATATCTTAAAAATTTGCGATGGCCGCTCATGCAATAGGAGTCCATGTATACCCATTACAGGGACTGAAGTAATTACATTTTAATTTCATTATTGTTATGATGATATGTGTTGCTCTAGTTAAGCCTATGGTAATGTAAGGTCCATTGTAATGATTTCTTTGCGGAGTGAGCAGCTGTGGATAGGTTTAGTAGGTAAACAAAAATATAATAATAAACTGAACAGAAATTCCTGGCAAACTTTTATAAAAACAAATAAATACATTTTATAGAATTAGTATTCTTTGTAAACATACCTAGAGGATTATTAATAACTCAAATTTTAATTGAATTTATTAATAATCTTGATAATAGAAGGCGGGAAAGAAGAAGAAATTATTCAACATGTTGAAGAAGTTGAAGAAGAGCATGCTGAAGAAGAATCCATTTTAACCGAATATGACCCTGACGATTTTCTGTCCGGTGCTGTCAACAGCTTAGATTCAACAGTACCTTTAGATTTTTTAGAATTTGAGTATCCTTTAAAAAAGATTTTTGTTTCCTATTAGATTATAAATATGATTCGTCAATCTACTGTAAATTTTAATGCATATTGATGGATAGTATCTAATAGCTTCCTCCTCTGGATCATTATTTCTTATAATCTATAATGGCGTAAAGCCATCTGTGTGTAGATATAGCCGAATAAGTTTAAAAGCGGATAAATTTCTTTCAATATATTCCTTAACTGTTGTAAGGTATTCTTATGGATACAACTGTCTCAAGTATTTTAATTTATGCGCATGCGACGAAACAGTAATATGCTGGGCAGCCGGAAGCATCATAACCTTTATGGATGTTAACACGAAGCAAATGTGGTATCGCAGAAGTACAACCGGCGGATCCGTAGGAAATATAACAGTAATAATTGCAAAAAGGATAACAATATCTAGCTAGAATATAATATACATTACCCAATCAACGTACTCCAATTTGTATAGCTTTGATTTAATTTTAGTCTTACAGAGAAGACCCTAACTACCGCATTGCAATAGCAGAGGGCAGAGAAGGAGATAGAGATCCTGTGATCATCCTCTATACGTGGCCACAGATGGAAATTGACGCTGTATTACGTGATGGAACAACAAACGCATATTCTATACTTGACTTCAGGTAACAAAGACATAAATTCCTAATGATTGTTACTGTGGAAGAGCCTCGCTGCTGTTTCCATTATTGCTTAAGTGGATAAGCTCGCTCTGGGCAGTATCTCACTGAAAAGTGAAAACCATTTTAAAGTAGAAGTATGTGTACTTTTGAATTTTTCTGGTAAGTGTGGTCATGTCCTATGAATTGCCTTTGCACTTTCTGTAAAAAATTTATATATATATGTGTTCTTATATATTACGTATACTCTTAAGAAGTTATACTTCTTTAGCGTAACAAAAGAAAAATAACAAAATATTATTTTACCCTATGTCAGTACTCTTTTTTTATGAAAAAGACATTAAAAACAATTGATAACGGTTTAATTAAATAACTTGAATTATAGATACAACACCACGAATTTGGTCGAAGTTGCTTTGAAAACAACTTCATCATATCGCTTTATGGCGGACGGTGTGCGGACGCTACGTAAAAACTTTACATAATTTTTGCCTATGTTTTTACATAACTTTGTCTGATTATTATATATATGACAACATAACTGTAATAAATTATAGATAATATAATATATGTATGTACGTATAAAATGCATTTATGTAGACACTCGTTATTTCTTTTTAAAAACATGATAATAATATTAATAGCTGATCATGTTTCTCATTGAAGTCCGGATGGTGAGCTACTTGCTTCTGTGGGGAAGGAACCTGATTATAATTTGACCATATGGAACTGGAAAAGGCATAGGATCCTTTTAAGAACAAGTGCCTTTTCTTTTGACGTCAACACTGCTATGTTTTCAAAATATTGCCCGGGACAATTAACTACAGCAGGTAGTGTAAAGCTATAGTACTAATTAAAATTTGTAGAAATAGTACTTATGATAATATAATATCGTATCTCAAATTTAACGGCGGATTTTCTTAAGAAATCTTAAATATGTGTATGTGTATAAACACATTCCAAATAGTGGATCACTTTGTAATACTTATGATTTTTTTTTATTTCTTTTTTTTAAACATTGCCGTAACTTTATGATAACATTATCCTGTGTTTTACCATTAACATTAACCTTTGTCCACGACCGACGCTGCCGAATCCAATACCTTGGTTACTGCGCACGGAGTCATCATCAATATAAATTTTAAGGATGTTGCTGTCGTTTCTCTGAAAAACAATATCTCAAAGCCCCATATAATTTTTTTAAGTTCTAGAAGTCCTATTTTTGTTAATTCATCAAAAATAATTAAACAGGGGCGGCGCATATTAAATTTTGGAAAATGGCTGAGACGTTTACGGGACTTAAACTGAAGGGAGAACTTGGTAGGTTTGGTAAGACAGAGATTTGCGATGTCCTAGGAGTGTATCCGATGCCCGATGAAAAGGTACATATTACAAATTATATTATTTTATATATTACTGGTTTAGCCAATTTTATTTCTCCATTTTTTGTAATTTCATTCGAAAGTTACCAATTGTATTTCTAATTTATTATTATCATTAATAACACAAAATAAAAGTCTTCATATTATTGAATCCATTAATGTATGATCATATCCATACATATTTAAGGCTAATATTTATTTTATTTATGAAGGTTCTATCTGGATGCGAATGGGGTAACATTTTGGTGTGGGAAGCTGGACTGGTAAAGTTGGAGGTTACACAACGTGGTCGAAAAACCTGTCACAAAGCGCCAATTGTATGTAATATTTCTTTTTAAATGTATAAAAAAATGACAGCCTATAATTCCCACCGCTGGGCAACGGGCTCCTCTGTACAGAGGTTATTAGGACGTAGTCCACCACACGACCCCACTGCGGTTTGCCGACTACATATTTCCGAAATATTATTTCTCTATTATACACACCGCGTCACATGAATAGGACCAGCATATTTTCCTTTGCTATCTAAGATATCAGACAAAATAAATATTTAATAATGATACGTATAAACATCTTTAGGCATGATTTAAATATAAACAATTGAACTTTTTCAAGTCTCTGTGACAGTGCCGGTAGGTAATTAGGACGCGTCACATGAATACGACCATTAAATAAAACACAAAAATTTTTGCAATTGAATAACATTTATTTAAACAAATATTGATTAATAGTTAAGACTTTTTCCCTTTTTTTTAATCAAATCAAAAATCCGAGACGGCATTGAATCATAAAGACTTCTTATATATTTGATCGGCAGTTTGCTCCAACACTTTTTTATACCCTTCTCGAGTTCTTGTTTATTGTTAAATTGTTTGCCGTTCTTATAAAGTTCACGTGACAACCACCCCCATAATTTTTCTATTATATTTAGGTCGGGGGAGAGTGATGGCCAGTCGAGAACATCGATATTATTTTGTTGAAACCATTGACGGACATCATGTGCTCTATGAATGCTGGCATTATCATGTTGGAAAATGAAATTTTTATCATCTGTGATACTGCTAAATTTACATATTTCTTTTTTTAAAAGATTAATGTAGCTTCTAGAATTTTGTCTACCTTTTATCATCACTAAATCAATCGGTCCGGAGTATGATATTGCACCCCAGCCATCACTGAGCCTGCATCATTTCGCCGACGCGATAAAATTATTTCATTTTTTCGTAAATCATGAAAATAGTAAGAATACCCGTCAGGGCCATCCAAATTGAATTTTTTTCATCACTAAATATAACTTTATACCACTCTTTAGTCCAATGCATTTTGTTTCGAGCAAACTGAAGACGTTCCGTACAGTGATGCTCTTTTAAACAAGGCTTTCTCTTCATTTTCAAGCGTTTTAAATGTGGACAATTGCGTATAATCCTTTGAACAGTCCTCACAGATGCTTTAGTTCCAACATTATGGGCTATATGGGTAGAATTTGACGCTTCGCGTAATATAATATTGCTCGGCGCTCTCTTTCAGTTGTAGCGAATTTGGTACCTTTGAATTTCTTACCATAACTTTCACGATCGTCAAGAAAATTACTTATCACCTGGTGTGAACGCCCTATTCTTTTTGCAATTTTTATTAATTTAGCAATTTTTATACAATTTATATTTTTATTAGAATAGCCCTCTTCACAAATAATTTTTATTTTTTCTATTTCCTCTAGTGTCAAACACTTTTTCCGACCCATATTAAATAAAAAAATATATCATATCGTCACTATTTGATGTTGTTCACTCAAATATGCATAATACGTATGCACTGTGACGTTTTTGTTTTATAACTGAGCCGCGCGGAGGGGGGGAAGTCATTGGTCGTATTCAAGTGACGCGTCTCGTCACCTACGTTCCTTTATCGTTCGCGGTCACACTCGGCGTTTAAGAAGTTCAATTATTTCTACCTAAACTTCACGTGCCTAAATATATTTATACGTACCATTATTATATATTTATTTTGTCTGATATGTTAGATAGCAAAGGAAAACATGCTGGTCCTATTCATGTGACGCGGTGTGTATATGTTTCCTTCACCGCTGAGCACGTAATTTTAAAAAATTACGATACGAAATTGAAAAAAAATTTCAAAAAAAATTTCATTGATACCTACACCACGGGATTTGAAATCAGGTTGTGAGAGTATATAATAAAGCGCGCCCAGACACAGCTCGGCATCACGGCGGTATAAAATTAAAAATAAACGAGTCATGCAAGGTCATTTGTGTTTTTTTTTTTTGTTTGTGCTTTGTGCATTTTCTTTCACCTTTTAACTAATGGTGTGCACTGAGCAATTCCAATCCCACCTAATACCATCCAATGATATATACAAATTTTAATAAATGCCATGTTTATCAGGAGACTTCCTGCAAGATATAAACCGGAAAAATCAGCTGTGCACTTGACTGAAAACCCACGGCGTTAATTATCAAAGCCGACAGCCACCACCTTGATTGTGTTGATATTAATTCGTTATTTATATGTCTATACAGATAAATAGTCTGTTTGTAATATTCAAATAACGGTACATGTACCAAAATAATCTTTTTCATAATTTTTGTATGTCCGTCTGTCTGTTTGTTCCGGCTAATCTCTGAAACGGCTTAGCAGATTTTGACGGGACTTTCACTGGCTGATGTAATAAGGCGTAACTTAGGCTATTTTTACTGTAGATATTTAATTATTTTAAATTCCACGCGGATGAAGTCGTGGGTCACAGCTAGTCAACAATATAATCGGTACCCTACCATCAGATCCAATTTATGCTGAGCCCGGCTGGTGACGAAGTGACAACAATTTCACGCGACGGTTGCGTACGGGCGTGGTACTGGGACACCGTGGAGCAAGCAGACCCACCGGAAGATGATCCTTACGTTGAACTTAACCCTGTCGCTGAGACTTGTGTAAGATCACCAATGCTCTTTTTTTGAAAGAAAATTTTGTTGACATCCAAATTCCCTTAGCAGAGCCAATCTTTTCGAAAGAATAATAGAAAGGAACATGCAAAATACATGTTATATTTTGTCTTGCCCGGCACGGTTAATTTTTGTTCCTCCTCGATAACTTTCCTTGACTTACTTGTTTCTGCGTTTCATGTGGCTTAAATCAAAAGAATAAGTTCAAAATTCTATTAAAATAATTATAAAATTTTTAATAACTTGGTAGAAGAGAATTTGAATACAATACATTTGAGAAATAATGTTTTGCTAATTGTCGCTTCTTTGGTACAGTATTATTATTTTTTATTAGTTTTTTTAACCAGTAGTAACTAGTTTTTCGTACAATTACATTTTTTTAATAATCTCCTATGACACATTTTATTTCGTCTCGAATCGTATTATAAGTTTACATATTTCGCTAGAAAAAAATTTTGCTACGTTAGAGCCACGCAGCAGCCTCTGTTACATGAATGGGTAGGCTAATCCGAGGTAACCACGGCCTCGCAGAAGGCTGGCGTGAAGTGGAAGGGCCCACTTTTAAATAGGTATGCAACATATCTACAACCCATCAGGTGTTTTAGATGTCCATAGACGGCGGCAGTCACTTTACATCAAATAAAGCGCCTGCTTACTCGCCAACTTTGAACATTCTCTTAAACGACAATCAAAGGCATATTATCGTTACCAATACTTTATTAATTACGGTCTCCATAATTAATAAAACATACAGATTCTAAAGCCTCGTAATTCTATAAATTACTATTTAGGTCACCTTTGATAAGATTATTTTTAAATGTAAATAATTATTAGAAAGTATTTACAGGTACCCGGATGTCAAATCATGTGCTTAAAGCATCAAAAGGATATGTATTGGTACGCACAAGTAAGTCCCGTAGACGTATGTTATCTAGTAGTCCGTAGTATGTTATCTAATTGCCGTTAATGCATTACCCTTATATATGATAGAAACTGATAAGACTATTAAAATAATCCTCTCAATATTAAACAACATGTAAATTTATTTGTTTAGTTATAAACAAGTATCAAAAAATATTACAAAAATTAAATATTACTTCACTTTTCTATGTTACGCGAAAGATGCAATCCGCTTGTAATGATAACATTTCAACTAAATCTTATTATATTTAACCTGATATATAAAGCGTGTCCCAAAGGATGCTCACGGTGGGATTTGGACGGTAGACCTAGAAATAGACAAGATAGAGTGCAACCATCGTAAAGTCGCAACTTGTCACGCCGGAAGCGTAGTAGGAATGGCCGCTCTACGCCTGCATCCAATACTTATCACTGTTGGAGAAGACGGGGCTTTATTAGCATACAATACGGATAATCAAGCGCTGCTTGCCAGATATCAATTCCCAAGTGCTGCGACATGCCTCCTATACCCGCCACACGATGTGAGTTTCACTACAGTAACACAATACTTTACTACTCGTATTTCTTTAAGCGCAAATTTCTCTTCGCAATATTAACTTTTTTAAACCCCCGTTGAATTTTTACAACAGGTAGACCCTACAGCACAAATAATCATTGTCGGATACGGGGACGGTGTAATGCGGACGCTTTTGATACATCCACAAGGACTGATGTCAGCAACTTCGTTTTTGGACGTGCGCATACATTCCGAAGTGACGATACACAGCGAGAACTCTGTTAATGTCGACACCGTAGATCTCATTTCGGTATTTCATAAATATTTATTGAAATTGTAATTCAGATATCTTTATTCAATATAGAAGCGTTACACTTACTTATTGATTCAAAATACTATACTACTATTACGCTAGCGATATTCAATAATCTATTTTATAGTGATTTCATTTTTATATAAGTATACGTTCTTTAGTGTTTATAACATTAATCCTATAAGATTTGAAATTAATTTTTGAGATTTTTCAATAAATTATTTTGAGTAGTTTTCTATACGGTACTTACATTTATGACATCTAACGATACTCTAACGTGTAAGATGACTTCGGTGCCGGGGGTCACAGGTTCGATTCCTTCACGAAGATAAGTATATGTGTGACCCACAGATAATAATTCCAGATCTGTGTACTTGTTCCCAAAAGGGTTGACGTCAAGCCAATAAAACGTTACTAATAAAAATTTTCACATGCTGTGCCGGCCCCACCTACGTGGAATAAGTGCAGGAGAAAGAAGATATACAGAAGTTCAATTTACAACATTCGTAATAAAAATGCTAACATTAAATAATGTTAGCATTTTTATTACGAATAACAATTAATTGTTAAATTATTTTTCAGTTACTCAAGCCTCATTCGAAATCACTAACACAGATAACTATTAACACTCAACACACGTTGCTAGTTACGTGTGGGCAGGATTCGACGATTTTTATCTATCAACTAGAGCGCGGCACGCCATTTACCTTACACAGATTGGGATATATCGAAACGCCGAACAACATAACTTATATGACTTGGAAGCCCGGCGAAGTAAGTTCGAATTTTTTAAGGAATTTAAATCGATTAATGTTAAATTAAATTAAGTAACGTCTTAGGAACGAGTAATTCTTATGGGTGGGCAAGTTGGATTCGTAATGGAAGCAGTTTTACCGGAAGCGCAAGTTCGAGAATATAGTGAAATAACTACATTCAAACTGGACTTTGTTTCCTATAAGGAAACAACCGTAAAAAAACATCAGTAAGTATGTTTCTGCTCTATTAAATATTATTTACATAATAAAAATTACTTATAAACGTATCGATAAGTAAATGACTCAATATTATAATCTAGCATGCGACATCGGCCATTCCCACAAGAGGAAGACCTTGCGAGTCTTGACGAAGAAGCTCTCAAAGCGAAAGAGGACGCAGAAAAAGATAAGGATGAGGAAGAAGAAGAATGGATAGGTGAAATCCAACTGAGTAAGAAAAAATTTATTGATTGTGTAATACAGTTACTAAGTTACTACAAACTCTTATGACATTGTTATAAATGTGTGACTTCTGTGTGGTTTCTGGTTTTTTTAATTATTAGTTTTCCAGTTATCTAGTACCCATAGTACAAGCGTTGCTTAGTTTGGGACTAGGTAACGTTGTGTAAAAATGTGTCCTAAAATATTTATTTATTTATTCTGTTATAAATATTTATTTATTTATAGTTGAGAGTGAAAGTATGCTGGGCACAACCATTACGTGGGCTGCATACTGTGAAGAGGGAGTATGGGTAATACAGCGAGACACAGGCGCCTTGTTACTAGTGAAACCGGGTCAAAACAAAGTACTCAAATATGGCCCTTTCCCTGACGCTTGGTGTGAAGACATTACAGTATTAAAGTTCATGTATGTCAAGTTAAATTTTATTTCAATGGCTAGTGTATGTGTAATATATGTAGTGTATGTAAAACATTTGCTATGACTTATTGGATGACTCCGTGGCGCAGTAGCCAAGGTATTGGCTTCAGTGCTGAGGGTCGTGAGTTCAATTGCCACACGGGACAACTATTTTTGTGTTATACACACATAAATGTTTCGGATCTGGGTGTTTGTCCACGTAAGATTTATATATGTAAAAAATCCTTACGGCACAGAATAATGTTATCCTACAGTAGGGGCAACTTTTCAAAATATTTTATTATATTATTTTAACAGTGACGAAAATGCAATGAAATTTGCATTTAAAAAAATGACATTTCCTTTCCAACTTTTAGCAGATTAATAGTTATCTCGGCAGATGTCAATGATTATGCTTAAGCTGTTTTTATAATGTTTTCACAACTTAAAACGAAAATTATAAATAAAATTATGTATTTGAACTCTCTTGTTATAGATGTGATGGTCGGTATCTTATCTTTGGTACAAATACCGGTTACATTCGAGTAGTACGAATGCCAACAGGAGAAGAAGATTCGGTGGAACATCATTTTATGACTTGGAAGTTGGCCCAGCAGAAGCTTTTAAAGAAGCTGAAGGGCAGACGTCTTGCCAAAGAAGAGGTTTTTTATTGCAAACATATGTACATATATAACTGGTTCCTTTGCGATATCCTTTGAAATATCCAAAAGCAAAATTGAAAATTTTCAGACTCAACCAACGCCGCGTCTTGACTTCACCGATTACTATTATCTCCCGATGCACGATAACTACACTGGCGCCATTACTTGCATTGAAATCAGCTCGGATGGAAGGTGCCTTTTTTAAATATTTTAAGGGATAACTGAAAAAAGATCAATTTACAATAACATTTATTTTAATTTGCCATTTTTTTTAATTATAATTCTTTTTGTTTACGTCATCGACGATAGTTCAGTAGAATTTATTGGCTATTAATAATTTAATTGAATTTTTTATTATAGCTATTAATAATCACACATTATTATAACTACCTACGGTTTTAAATGTTAACAGTCGCATGTTCACATGTGGAAGGGATGGGAACATTTTCTCCTACTTTATCAACTTTCCTGAACCACTGATTCCGGAATTGGTGCCGCCAAAACGATTAGAACTTCCGGTATGTATTAATTGTCATTTGTTTTGGTTTTATTTTTCCTTTTATAATTAGATCCAAACCATATTTTCTTATCCGTCCGTAGAGAGTGGAAAAACTGAAAGAACCTAGCACCGTCGATGGAGAATTGATGTCCCACGAGCAGCTTAAACAAAAAGAAGAGTACGACAAAATGATGGCTATAGCCAATGCACACAAAAAACATGTCCGGGAACAACTCGCCGAGCTCACTGTCGAATACAATAAAATCATAAAAGCGTAAATATTCAAATGATTTATAAGTCAAAATATCTCTATATATTAATAAGTCATTATTTATCTCTCTCAAGTTGGTCACATAGTAACTTTATTCGCAGAAATCGCGCCCTGCCATACTCTCAACAAATTGACTTGACACTAGATCCTCGCCCTATAGCCGAACAAGAAAAACTGCTTGACGAAGCTAAGGCATTGACAAAAAGAAAACTGGCTCACCAGTTAGAAGCTTCGGATTTGGGCTACCAGAAAATGTACTCTAGGAACATAATACAACTCGATGTGTTCCCTTTCACATTGAAAGCAATCAGGTACAGTGTGCATAATTTCTTTTTATGTGAGAAGGTGGCAATCGAGCTCGCAGTTCACCTAATGTATAGAGTGTTAACCGCCGCCGATTGACATTTGCAAATGCGTTGCCGCCTTATAATAAAGTGGAGCCCGGCTACCTCACTAACCAGATGAATCGCAGACCTATAAAACTTTCACTTCACGTCGGACTTCTGTGAGGTCGTGATACTTACCCGGGCGCACCTGCCCATTCTACCACAGTTTAATCGTTCTATTCTATTTCCTTTTTATATAGGTTTTATATATAGGTATAATAAATTAGAAATATGAATAATTGGTCATTAAGTAAAGATCTTTGTACGTCTTATAGAAATAGTATGTTTTCCACTGTATTAATTAATAAATACAATATTACTATTTCTATAGATTTATCTAAATTGATAAAAAATTTTCGAATTCAAGTTCTGATACGAGCCCTGTCCATTAGTATTGGCTGTATTACTTTTACCCTTCGCTTTATTTAGTACACTTGATTTAATTTCTTTTAAGGATATGTTTGAATTAAAGCATTTTTGTATAATATAATCTTTAGTTTTAGCGATGCTTACTATTATTTTTGTTTTTGAACACCCTTTATATTTTCTAGTACCCATATTACATACAAGCTTTGCTTAGTTTGGGACTAGAGAATTTTGTATAAAAATGTGTCCTAAAATATTTATTTATTTATATAATGAGAATAAAAATCGATCAAAAAAGTACATCTATATAACCATTATATAGTAGTAAGATATTTATAAATTCAAATACTTACTAAAGCTGTAGAACGCTATTTCCTAAACTAGGTATATTGACTCTAACTGGGATGTACATATATGAATTAAGCCTTTTTGTAAAAAATAACCGGTACCTCTTTGTTGAGCATAATGAAATCGCAATGTATAGTAGCCGATTCGGAGAAAGGCTGATAATTCCAAAAACAAAGAAAAAAATTATTTCCAGTAATTGCTATATAATGGCTATAAAAGTGTACAATAAATTGCCAAGGGGAATCATAAACTTACCGTGTACAATCCTTAAAAAGAAATTATATGAGTGGCTAAAGAACACATGCTTTTATTCAATTCAAGAATATTTTGAATACACTTCCAAACAATACCTTTAATTATTATATATATTACCCACAAATAATTGAATTTTGGCATAGTTTCTCAAGACGTAGTTTATAAATAGGACATTGTATGGATATTTTTGTTATCATATATGAAGTAAATTGTGACAAACTTAACTAACAATAAGTATAGAATGTAACCTTGAATATGTCTAAGCATTTTGTATACCAGAAATGGTTGAATATGATTGAACCGTGTAATATGACTGTCAACATCTTTATACCATATTCAAACAAATAAATAAATAAATAAATAAGTAAATAACAATAAACTCTAACAACAAAAACTAATACAAGAAACTGGTCTACATACACCTACAGGGATCCCCATGTTATGATAAGACCGCTGCGGCAAAAAAATCTTTCACAAGCCTTCTACGATCAATTCGATGAAGTTCATCAGAAAATGGCTGAAGCAGCTTTACGTGGAAGGTAACAACTTTCGTTGTGCAAATATCATATTTTTATAAATTTCATAATTTCTGATTCCTATATCTTTATTTTAACTTTACATGCTAACCTTAGGAATATGAATTTGCTGGCGTTAGCTGATATAGAACTGACGTAAGTAGGTGGCGGGTACACTTTAATGTGATAGAAATTAAACTTCTTATAGAATGTAAATAATCTCAAAACACAACGACAATTATTCGTATAATGCGTACAGCTACAACGTGCGCATGTTTATCCGTCGCGATCTTATTCCGCTGACTGTGATTTTTAATTACGGGAACTTTCTTTTATGCTGTCACTCAATGTGCGCCCACTGCGTCGCCATTCCATTCTTGCAATGAAATTACAAGATATTGCTTTGTGCTCTAGAAATACGCCGAAGTAAAATAAAACGGAAAAAAAGCTGCAAAGATCATTTTATGCACGAATCTTATTGAATTACGGCAGTAAATAAATTAGATGTTTTTCATTTACTCTATAAAACACGAAAATAATATAAATATATATAATATATTTATATTATGTTCGTGTTTTATATACATAATATAAATATATTAAGTATATATATTTATATTATCATAGCAGAGATTAATTTAACAACAAATCACTCATATCAGTGCAACTTTATATCATTGAACACAAGAAACGAATTTAGTGCACCAAATGCACTTTACTGCACGCTGTTACTGTTTAATGCATTTCATAGATACATAACTATGGCACTGCATGACTAGTTTCATTGGGATTACGAAAGTTGCAACAAAGCCTATTCCAATTTTGTACGGTAGTGAATATTTAAAAATTTTGACGTTTTAATAATACGTTATTTTTTCTTTAGACGCGCGGAATCCGTTACTCGTCGAACGATGGCGAAAAAATCATCATGGGGACCACCCAGAGTGGCCTCTTTCTTGCTTGGCTTGCCGCCTCGACCGTCGCATACACTTAAAAAGGCCGTAAGGAATTATTATCAGCGACTAAATCGTCACCACCTACAGTTTATCGAGGTAAAATTACTTTTGTCTTTATACCATCTATCTTTATTAACAAAAACAAAACTGACTTCAAATATCTCACTCACTATTTATTTTGTATTCGATTTTGAGTTCCCTAAATGTTGAGAATTGGTTCATAAGTGACGGAGTTCTGACGTAAGAAACAAAAAAATACAACCGAAGAGAAGAGAACCTTCTCCTTTATTGAAATTGGTCAAAAATGCGTAACGATTGATGCTCTACATAGGAAAGGGAAAATGTGATATACAATATACATACTATACTTATTACTTACAGATTGCTTAGTAAGAAGTAGAAAAAGTTGAACTTTCATAAGCTATGGATAGATAAGCACAATATATTGTTTAGCAAATTGTAGGACCGCGATTTAATGTGTTTTTTTATCGTATCGACACGCGATTGTCCGATCGATCACGAACAACTTGTTATCCACCCCATGTAAATAATATCACTAAGATATATATATATATATATATACTGAGAAGATTATAAATTTTAATACAACAATTTTAACGTCTTGCTTGACGATTATCAGTGGCAAGAGCATTTGTCACGCAAACCAGACCCAAACGCAATGCCGCCAGGAGCGGCGGAGGCTCTGAAAGAGGCCGAAGCAACCATCGGCAACCGCCTCCTAAAAACCCAACCGGACTATGTCGCACCACCGGGTCATAATACACAACTCAGAATATGTATGACAAGAAAAGAGGTACATTCAAGACGAAACTTTTTTCAAAATATGACTAAAGTATGTGGTAAGCGAGCCAACCGTTCACCTGACGATGACTGTGATTATCGCCGTCAATAGATAACCGAAAAACCTGCAACGTTGCCGTTGCGGTGCATGCAGATGTGTTGTTAACCCTCAGGAGTGTGGGCCTTCCGCTCTTTTGACGGTGGTAGGGCCACGCAGCAGTCTCGGCTGTTGCACGAATGGGCAGGCTCGTCCGGGTAAGTACCACGACCTCACAGAAGACCGGCATAGAGTGGAAGTATAATACTTTCGCGTTTCGTGTGGTGAGTGAGGTAGCCGAAGCCCAATTTTCAAAAGGTTGTCTGCGCACCTGCAACCCTCGGGTATAGCAGATGTCCATGGGCGGCGGTATTCACTTAACATCAGGTGAACCGTCTGTCCGTTTGGCAACTTTTAACATAAAAAAAACTTCACTGTCAACCAGATGAAATGCATTCATACTCGTATAAATGACTCTATATATAGACAAGTTTACTTTCAACCTAGCCTGCCATTCTCGTAATAGTTCTTTGAAGTTCTATGAATGATTACTTTCAATTTAATATCTCTGATTAGCATATTATTTTAGATACACGACATAAAACGTGAATTCAATGAAAAAGTTCTTGATTTACGCCAACATAAACTACGTCTCGTCGATCGTATGAAGAGTATTGGTGAACGCCTTACGGAAATTCGGGCCGAAATCCCTCACAATAAGATTAAACAACCACCCCCAGTGCCAACAATCGACGATGATCTGGAGTTTCCAGAAAAAAATTTAGAGGTAAGCAATTTTTATTCCTCTAAAATCCTTAAATATAGAGTGGTATAAGTAACGGATAATTCCTTATATAGATTGAGGCACATTACAACTGATCAGGAAATACAAATTTGTGTTGCCGAAAATGAACACAGTTTTGAGTTATCTAGCATTTTCGAAAAAATAATCTTCTCTCACTTCTCTCACTTTCTCAGCCGGTTTTTCTATGAAATTTATTGCAAACTATACTGTTCGATTTGTAATGAAATTTTGGTATAACTGTCTGTTAATGTTACTCGTATTTATTTATAAGAAACCAATTTCTTTTCGATGATTTTTTTACGTTGGGATTCGGCCCTTCAGGTGTAAAAATATATTAGTAGGAAACTGCTATCTTATAAATAATTTGTCAATCTCGTTAACGTTCTGAAAAACTTGTAAAGTAGACAAAGTAAAAAAAACTTTTTTTTAGATGTATTCTTGGTTATTGACGCATTTTCTTTGTAGTTAATAACAAAAGCTACAGCTATCTATGATTATATATATATATATATATGAATAACTGTACGCATAGCAATGCTCATCCAATACAATCGTAACGTTAATATATTTAATGAATCTAATATTAATGTTCACATTTTTTGTTTTCTAAGAATTCCGGCCATGCGTTTTTAAATCTCAGTTATGTACCTAGTTTTACAGACTACAGATGTCTTATAACATACATGTAAACAAACAATTATGTCACTTATTGCCCCTGCCAGAAGTTGTCAGAATATCATACATTGAACAGTAGGTTGTCAATACCTTGCCTGAAAATGAATTTTGTTCTTTGCTTTGAAAGCAAATGCAATGAAAATTTAATAAATGACTCTTCGTTTCATACAGATAAAACCAGAGGTGATACAGACTGGTACCAAATTGCCTTCGAATGTAGCTAAAAAAGTACAGGAACGCAAAAAATCCTTGACACATCCACAACAGAGGGTGCGTCAACCAAGAGTTCCGCGATTCGTGCCGATAACAGGTTGTCTTTGGTTTGAATAGTTTTCAACAGATATATGAAAGTATAGTGCACCATAATTATAAAGTTCACTAATGTGAAGTCACATTAAAAGCAAGAATACTTGCCTGTAATAAAAAGTTATAAAAAAATTATCAAAAATTTTAATAATTTTCATATATGAGCTTCACATTCTAATTTTAAATAGCTTGAGATCTTGAGGATTTGTTGAAAGAGATTTCTGCAAATAAAACTAATGCCAATATCCTCTATACATATACCATAAAACGTAAGTGATGATCAAAGAACAAAAACCATTTATTCCAGAACCTGACCGACTTCAATTCGAAGTATGATAACTAATTAGAGATTATAAATAACCGCTGATAGATATTCTATATGTATAAGACAAAGTCATATATCTAAAATAAGTTCAAGTCTTCTGGACATGATACATTAATTTTAACCTGCGTTTATTTTCAACTGTGGTAGGGCCACGCAACAGTTGGCTGTTGCACGAATGGGCAGGTCCGTGTGGGGAAGTACCACAACCTCACGAAAGACCGGCGTGAAGTGGAAGTGTTAAACTTTTGCGTTTTGTCTCGTAAGTGAGGTAGCCGAGGCTTTACTAAAAGGTGGCAAAGTATCTGCAACCCTACGGGTGTTGCAAATGTCCTTGAGCGGCGGTTATCACTAAACATCAGGTGAACCGCCGGCTCTCTTACCACCTTCTCACATAAAGAAACTGTCGGCCTTTAAACCAAAAATATAAGCCGTGTTTTTTTTTTCCTTAGAAACTCACTTAAAGATGGGCTACGTTTCCATATTGGGGTTCACTTTTTATCGAATCCACCGTTTCACTCGATCTTCTTTGTATTTATTCTTCCATCAGCTTGTATCTAGAAGAAGAAAGAAATAAACAAAATAAATTTATTTACTAAAAAAATGACGCACATAAAAAAACATAAAATAAAAGAAATAAAACATAACAAAATCAGTACATTATTCAAATATAAAACTATGCTGAAATAAAAACAATAAAATCTAGGGAACGTCCTTTCTTCTGAGTGGAAAAGTAATAATTATGTTTATAAATCAAAAGAGATATTTTTAGGAAGCGCATGTATTATTGTTAAACTTTTATATTCAGTTTGTTTTTATGGATAATCTGATTCGTTTTAAAATTATACTTTTTATAGAGAGCCGCCCGCTAGCGGCCTCGTGGGACTTGTTGAAAGCGAAACCAGACCAAGAATCATCAGCGATAGAAGTCGATATTAGAGAAAGACGCATTACAAGGTAGCCTTACTCTTATTGTTTTTCTATGGACGTTTGGACGAAATAACTCACAGTTACCTACAGTTGTAGTCCAATCCGTTAGTAGTAGGTGCCATCCCAACATAAAGACGCTTACCGCCCGTCAGCTACAAACGCTTACCGTCCGTCAGCTACAAACGCTTACCGCTAGGTACATACGTTCCGCCGCAAATGGCTTAGGCCGCGAAACGTCCTCGATTTCCCTGCAGACTAATTTAATGGATTCTAATGATATTCACAAAATATTTGTATTCAATGTATTCAAAAATAGAAGAGAGAAGAATAGAATAGAAAAAGCCTGCGGCAACTACTAGCATCGCGAGTCTTGCAGTTGATTTCTCATGTTTACGCGATTACTGTACATGGTTAAATAAAACGATTTTAACGAGTTTCATTTTGAATTTTAAATTTAATTTTAAATTCCCGACTTTTCAAGTTGAAGCTAACCTTTGGTACTAAGAAATGAACATGTTTTTATAATGGTTTAGATTTCATATACATATACTATTTTAAAAAGTTTGTTACAGACACTTATACGAGCAAGACATGCTGCTTGCTGACGCTGCTATGTCTATACAGCAATTTGATTCTCGCCTAGGACAACTACAAAGAGAACGGATACGTGTTCAGGCATGATGACATATAATTATGACGTTATATTTTAGACGTAGTAGAATTATAGCTCTGATATTTATTTCTTAATTATGATGAATTGATCCACCATAAAATATCTCACTTTGTCGCCGTAGTTTCAAATACTTTTAAAAACAATACAAATTCATATAACATAGAGGACCCATCTATTAAGCGACCAAAATGATGACACTTGAACTCTAAAAAAGTAGTCCGAATTGGTCACGAAATTGTCATAAATTGTTAGTTATTTTTTGCTTTTGGTCAATAATATAACACAGAGGGAGAGAGAGTTTAAAATTGTAAGGTCATTTGAAAAATTTGGCGACTAAAATTAATCCTAGAGACAATGACTAGAGATCAGATCTAAAATTATTGAAATTGGTCACAAAATGGTCATAATTGGTCATTAATTTTTTGTAATTAGTCATTTTTATTTACGTATTAATTAGAAAATTCAATTAAAAAATTTATAATTATTAAAAAAATGATTAGCTCTCCAAAATAACAATTTTGCAATATCAAGTAAAGTTCCTAGCAAGTTACGAAACAATTGGTCAGAAGCTTGGCATAATTGGTCAACAGCATTTAAAATGATCAGAAGGAGTTTAAAATCACAAGAACGCATCTATCCTCAATTGAGTTTGGTCGTATAAACTTATTTTAAAAAGAAAGAACATTGTTGCAACAACTATGCGAAAGGTCAGAGTATTCCGGCAATTGGACCTTAGAATTTTAAACTCTGTAGTTAGTGTCAAAGTATTGACCAATTGCTAAAAATCGCTGACCATTTATGAGCATTTCGTGACCATTTTGAAACGGTTTTTTAGAGTTCGAATTGTACTATTTTGGCCCCTTATTAGAGGGGGCCTGTTTCAGACCACTTTAAAATGAGACAAATAATTTATTTAGGAGAAAAATCAACTACTTGAACTCCACCTGTACCAGATGCACCAAGAAATGAACGTGCTTAATAGGTTCGAGGCGCACGAAGATCGATTGGCTGAGCGTGTGTACGCCAAACTCATGCAGGTTGACATTTAAATTATCTCACTCGATTTATTATATATCTTATCTTTTACGAAATCCATCCTGCACCGAATATTAGATACATTTAGCACCCAATACAATATAATCGCGAAATATTATTTTATTTTCAATGTTGTTATTGTTTTGTATTGTTTTCTACACCATAGGAATTTCCCCAGAGCTTAGGAGGCAAATACAAAAGCGAAGCGATCATGATAGATTGCCACTCATGGACATTGGCCATGATCATCAGATGAGGCTCAGATTCGTTTTCGAACTTTCTGAAAAGAACAGATTCTGTTTAATTCAGATTAGTCCGGAAATAATGTTTAAAATGGTCTTTCTATATTGTTATGAACTTAAGATTTATCGTATTAAGGCGAAAACCATAAGTTGCTCAATTAAACTATTTTATGGATGTTATCACGTTTTACTTTGATTTTATTTTTCTTTTTTTAATGGAGTAAAGTGAAGTTGTTTAACGACATTTTAAGATATCATCATCAGTTGTGCTGTATCGAAAAAAACCATTCAGATTCGAGGGGTTCAAGATCAAATCCAAGACTGTGAGCAGCGTATCGAGGAGCACCAGGCCGAGAAGGAACAGTTGGATGCTTCTTGCCAGGAACTCCAAAGCCAGTTCAAACAGCTGGTGCATGACAATAAGTTCGCCGACTTTTTACGGAGGATATTCAAGAAGAAATACCGACCACCGCGTGACAGAGATGACGATGGTAATACATCCTAACACTATATTTAAGTCATATTTTCGTATTTTCATGTATAAATTGGTATTTTTATTTTGCAACCTTTTATGATTCTTAAATTTCTTAAAGATTCTTAGATTTTTACGGCTATAATTGAAAGAATATTTCATAATAAATAAATCGTTTTTATACACGAAGGGCGTCATAAAAAGTCCCCAAAATAATAATTTGTAATACCGGCAATTTTTTTTACTTGTGAATAGTCCTTAAAAAACCGAATTCAATAACTATTGATCAATGAATAATTCTAATAATAATTCATTCTGTAGAATCAAGCGAATCTGAATCTTCTTCATCGTCAAGTGAGGAGGAAGATGAAGGCAGTCTGGATAGCCGCGACATCGGTCCAATACGCTTGGATCCAAATGTTTGCCCTGAGGGGTGCGAAAAAGAAATCTACGACAAAACTTACGAACTTCGCAATACCAGGTGCTTACGATATACGCCATCAAATTATTATATGAGTTTTTAGTATTATAGTATTATATATATATTTAGTATTATATGAGAACTGTTACTTGATTTTTACTAAGATATTAATTTATTATATTTAATTGTTATTTACTTTAATTAAATAATAAAAGAAGCCAACATGCTCATTAGTTCTAACTTTTGATTAAAATCAAATTGACAAATGACAAATTAACTATAATTTATTTTTAAAATGACCAAAATATATTTTTTTCAAAAATTTAAAACTAAGTTTTCTCAATTATTATGATAGTTATTTATGAAATACAGGCACCATCACGAGCAGGAAATGTTGGAGCAAGATCGGCTTGTTGATCTTTTACGTAAGGACATCGATGCCCATAACAAAGTGAAGCGCACATTGTCTGTACAATTGGAGAAGAGGAAAAACGAACTTAAGGAGTTCATGGTACAAAAATAATATATTGTTTTTTTTTTTATTGTAAAGTAATCGAAAAAAATCTGAGTTTTGTCACCAATAAATTTTATGCTTTACGTTTGACCTCTACACATATCTTATCCAATGAAGCGTCCACACATTACATGGTCCATAGTGTAATGATTGACTTAATAATTTATAAGTAATATTTTATAAATCAACTTTATCATGAGCATTTACCTTTTCTGTCGTCGTCAATCAATCATATAGATGGAGAAGCAGAATTGCATGAACGAAGTGGATCAAGTGGTGGTTTTGAGGTACGATCAAATCAGAGCCGCCGCGATGCACGGCTGTACTGGGCCAGAAGGTCTGTCGAACACCGTGGTCTTCCCAGAGAAAATGCTGATGAAACTGCGCCAGCGAGTACTGGAGCTACAAGACGAGATAAAGCAGCAGAAGCAACGACAGAAGTTAGCATAAGAAACTCTGTACTATATCCTAACTGTGAAGATCTTAATGATTCGAAAATGCTGGATAAATAGTTTTGTTCGTGTGAGAAAGTGGCCAACAAAATGGTCGTTCTTATGTTAAGTGCCAACCGCCGCCCATAAACATTTACAATAATCCTAGGGCTTCGGATGCGGACGTATTAACAAAGTGGGCCTCGGCTACCTCACTTACCAGACGATACGCAGAAACATAACACTTCCACTTCACACCGGTCTTCTGTGAGGTCGTAATACTTCCCCGGACTGTATATATGATATACCCACGAACTGCTGCATGGTCATACCACAGTATTTTTAAAATGAACTACAAGGTAGTAATTATGTTAGGGAACTGCTAAAATGGGATTCTGCGTCATTATATTGTCTGTTTTCTGAATTAGGATTCACGTCATTTTATAAATTAAATATTTTAAAAGTGACAACAGACTTGGAACTACAATTTAAATCACTACATAGTATAAAACAAAGAATTGGAACTATGGTATAAATCACTTCATAATATAAAACAAAGTTGTCCAGCTATCTGTCTGTCCCTATGTATGCTTAGATCTTTAAAACTTGAAGAGGATTTTTTTACTAGATAGAGTGATTCAAGAGGAAGGTTTATATGTATAATAATTGCACCCGTGCGAAGCCGTGGCGGGTCACTAGTAGTAATATATATCATTCTCTCTGTTTGTCGGTTGATTGGTATTAAGTCCGCCATTGTAAGTTATTGTGCATAAAGTTTTTCCAATAAATAAATATAAAGTGAACAGTCGTGAATAGCTAGTGACGTACCACTCCAGGATAAACCGGACACATCTGTTCCGCATGAACGTCGACCTGAAAGCGATGGAGGCCCAGTCGCAAGAGATGCGCGCGAAAATGCGCGACGTGCTCACGAGGAAGCTGGGCAGGCCGCGCCGCGTGGACCGCACGCTGGACGACCTCCTGCGGCACATGGCGCGCAAGCACAAGTACTCCGCCGCGGTGGGCACGATGCCGCAGATGGTGCAGCAGATACGACAGTGGCAGGTCGGTGGTCGGCGGCGGTATATGCGCCTAGGTGGACCATCGTGGGGGTTTTAGTCGGTGCGAGTCCGACGTAAGACGTAACCCGCTCTTGCCCCCGCGAGGGCGGGTGTCCGTAGGCGTTTCCTCCGCGTAAACAGTAAAAAAGGCCGGTGGTGGCAACTGCCTATCGCTCACAGCTCGTCACCGCAGGTTTTTTTCAACTGACTTCAAAAAAAAAAACGGAGCGCGCTTCTGAATACGGTTGTATTTTTTTATGTTATTTTATAGCTCGCTTATTTAATTAACGAAGCTTGCAACTTATAAATTAAAAATGGCCAAGTGCGAGGCGGACTCGCGAATGAATACGGAACCCGTACCAGTAGATATCTAAAAAATCACGTCTTCAGTATGGAAGCCCTACTTAAACATTTTTTTTATTCTGTTTTTTAGTAATTTTTGTTATAGCCGCAACAGAAATACATCATCTGCGAAAATTTCAACTGTCTACCTATCACAGTTCATGAGATACAGCCTGGTGACCGACGGACGCACAGACAGACAGAGAGCGGAGTCTTAGTAATAAGGTCCCGTTTTACCCTTTGGATACGGAACCCTAAACACGATTGACCTGAAACAGATACCTGAAACAGTACCGGGAACAGATTGATGTACCGGTGTCATCAGTCCCCGCCATTTATGTTTTATATTATTATAAATATCGATAAAGTTCCATCTACATGGAATGTATGCCAATTTTTCTGTACGTACAATTATTATAAGTGAGATTTTTAGAATACGAATGCATAAATAAAATAAATAAATATCATAACAGCAACTATATCAATTATTGCTTTCGTGAAAGATAAGAGAAACGTGATGAAACTTTTATTGAATAATTGATGAAATGAAGAAAACAGTAATATGTACCCTTTTATAGCAACGTTATGGAGAGTTGGAAATGAAATATCTCAAAGAGTTAAACCATTACTCTGACCGTTTGCGCCTAGCAGCCGCTTTACAAGCTGATGTTTTGCCTCAAAAGGTAAGTATTGTGTTCCTAATTTTCTATATATCACACAAAAGGACATATAAATGGACAAAATAAACACAACTCATTCATATTTACAATTGTAGTACAGTGCTTACATTATAGCCGATTATTAAACTTTGAAGTTTTGCTAAATTTAATGTTATAATTCAAACAATTGAATCCCTTCTAAATATCGTAGTAGAATTCAAAGTTAATTTTATCATTGATTGTATTAAAATAATGACTAGAAATTTTACTAAAATTGAAACGTTTCCGAACGTGTTGCTTTTTAGTGCGTTGCTTATATATATATATATATATATATATATGTCTCTTAATAACCATAAGAACTTTATTTTCGACATAAATAAATTTAATTTCGCTTTTCGCTATTTTGGCAGCTGTTAAAAGAACCGAATGTAATGGCCGGCGGTTACGAGCCGGAACAATATAAACGGGACGTCGTGCGGCTACGTATAATACGAACCCAGCAATTGCAACAGATTGAGGTATAATAACAATAAAATAGTATGGATGAAGTAACGAATGATTAAACGGATGAACGAATGAAAGCAATATTTAATAAGACTCCAGAAAAGTATATTACTTTTCATGTAATCCTGTGGCTATTGATATTTAAATAGCTTTAGTAAATGCCATGAATATAACAAATATCCGCAAGCATTTGGTGAGCATATTTCGATTGCTTTATACATTATTCCTTCCAACACTTCCTATACCTTATGGTAATACAGCTTATATAAATTTTTGTTAACATTTTTTAAAATTAGGCCCTTAAACAAGAGATAACGAGTCTGCGGCTGAAACCACTATCTCCAGATAGACATGTAAGACAGGGCCCCCAAGTGCCTCCCGAACGCTCGAAAATCCATCTAGCTGCTATACCCCGCACCACGCGACAAACTCACAAGAAATACTTTCCAATGTAAGTCTTAATATAAAGTGGCTTGTACCCTCCCAAATCAGTACCGCCATGCTTTATTTCTGACTAATATATACGTAAATATCTTGTAGTAAGATGAAATACGTTTATACAACATATAAGCATTAAGCTATAATCGTTTTTAATTTAATGTAAATTTGTTAAACCTACACGACGTGCAGTTTGGGAGCAATTATTTTTACGCGCAGAACTTATACAAATTTTTGAACTATAGTATAAGTGTGAGTTTTGGATACTATAACATTTAGTTCGGAAAAATCGTTAAAAAGGGACGATGGTACTAATGGTTCTCCTGACTGTGTGAAAAATTTAAATTCATTCCGAATATTGGAAATGCGTGAAAATATTATTACGCAAAGTATATTCAAGTCCGAAACAACAATATATCATCATCATGATCATCGTCCTGCCCTTATCGACAAGACAATAGAGTCGACGCAAATATAAATAATGTTGTAAATTTTTGGGTTTGTTTTTGAATGGCTAGGTTTTTTTTACGGCCAGCCGCGTATCTGACGTCAACCCTGCTTGGAAACAAACTTCCGGATGCCGAATAATTATCTGTGGGTCCTACAAATACTTGTTCCGTGTGGAAATCGAACCCACGACGTCCCCGCACGCAATAGCTTAGCAAACAATATATGAAGATCGCAATGGTATTCAGCGAGGTGACTAACATTTTGCGCCTTATAATTAAGGAGGTTTTATGTTCTAGTACACCGCTGGGCTCACAGACCCACTTTCCACACGACGTTAACGTGATGACGTTGTTGTACGACTGCCTGGACGCGATGCGGGTGACGCGCGATGACGCCGACCAACTACTGAAGGACCTCACGGACGAACTACCCGACGTCCTTGCAGGGTATGTGCGCAAAACTTCATTGTGCCTCTAAGGTTCATACAAGTCATAGCACAAAAGCTTATCTTAAGCTTATGCTCGGGTAAAGTTGGTACGCATGTACAAAAATCGTTTGAAAATTATCTGACATTTAAAAATCGTATTTTAACAAAACCGATCAATACCATTGTTCGCAACTGTACCGTGTGTGATGAGAGCGTAACGGAGAGTGTTGCCTTCTTGTTCACGCCGAATGAACGTAGATTTTTTATTTATAGCTTAATTTTAATTTTAAAGAATTTTGAGTAAACGGGTACATACGGAGAACTGAAGTCGCCAACTTCACTGTGGAGCATTTAAGCTAAGAAAGCTACAAAGAGATATCCTCTTCATCATACATGATAGGCATTGGTTACAAAAAGATGGAATAAAATATATTAGCTAAGTTAAAAAGCAATAGGCTAAGTAAGGGAAACGGCTTGGTAAGCTAAAATTGCATTCTGCAGTCGAAAACTAGAATCCCAAGTCAAAAGGATTACTCTTCGCTTTATCTGAATACGTAGAAACATTGTCTCATTATTCAATTCTCACAAGTTTTTTTAATAGAAAATGCATTACCCTTTCTGTAACTTACGTTATCCGGCGTAGTGAAGACATTTTAAATACACAAAATGTCACATGGATAAACACCCGATTTGGAATAGTTACCTATTTGCGGGTCACACAAATTCTTGTTCCGTGTTGAATCGAACCCATCTCCCGTGGTGCTGAAGCCGATAGATTAGTAGCTTAGAACTGCAACAGGCTCATCGACTGTCACTTTAGTAAATAAATGAATGCGTATCATAAACATTAATAATATTGTTGATTGTATTATAATGGTAGTTTTTTGACGTTCAATAAGGGATTAAAACAAGCCTATATTGAACTAGCTTTTCGCCCCTGGCTTCGCTCACGTTGAAGCCCTTAAATAAATATCTTTCAACCCTTTACAACACTTTTTTCCAATAAAAAATTGCCTATGTCCTTTCTCAGGCTCTAGACTATCTGTATACCAAATTTAATTTAAATCGGTTCAGTAGTTTTGGAGTGTAAGCGAGACAGACAGACAGAGTTACTTTCGCATTTATAATATTAAGTATGGATTAAGATAATTGAGTGTCTCTACATTTGAATATGGGCAGCACAAAGTCTCGATTCGAGGTGGTCGATTCGCTGGTTCGAAAATGGCTACTAAAGTATGGTGGTGATCCGAGTCTTTATAAGAAGCAGACGCGCGCTTTTGACGCATTGGCGGCTCTCGCTGATCGTCTCATCAAGCAACACGTAAGTTACCTTACCAATTACCGAACACTCGTTGTTAAGGCTTTCTACTTCCGTCTTATTAGTTATTTAGTATCTTCTCCTGCTGCACGAATGAGCAGGCTTGTTTGGGAAAGAATCACGATGTCACAGAAGACTAGTTAGAACTGGAAGTACTATACTTTGGCGTTTAGGCTTGTGATTGAGGTAGCCCGGGCCCACCATTTTCTATGGTTCTCAAGCCGCTTGCAAGCTCTCAGTTGTCGTAGATGTCCGTGCGCTGCGGCAATCTTTTAACATCAAGTGAACCGCCTACTGTGAAGTGACTGTCAGTAGCCTGAATCGTTACAACCAGCTGCATGCTGAAGTTCAAAATTCCACCCGGAGAGACAGAGACCAATACATCAACAATCTATGTGATGAAATGGAGAGACATTGTGACAAAGCGCAAACAAAAGATTTTTTCTTAAAAGTGAAACAACTTACAGCTACCTTCAATCCTAAGAGTTGGATCATAGATGACAGCAGAGGTAACACCTTGACAGAGCTCGATGGATTTCTGGAGAGATGGAGGAGCTACTGTTATGAACTCTATAGGGAAGAAGATGGACTCGGTGTTGAAAGGAAAGGAAGTGGGATGATCACGTCAGAGAACCAGATATATTACTTTCTGAGGTACAAGACGCTATCAAAAGATTGAAGCATAAGGCGGTTGGTCCTGATGGCGTATCTCCGGCAATGCTACAGCACCTAGGATGTGAAGGGACCAAAATCATCCACCGGATATGCAATAAGATCTGGAGAACGGGTCAGTGGCCAGAAGACTGGACACAACCTGCTATTGTCCCGCTGCACAAGAAAGGATCTACTAGGAAATGCGAAAACTACAGAACCTTGTCACTCATGTCACATGCAAGCAAAATCCTCCTGCGCATTTTGAACGCCAGGCTATCAGCTTTTGTAGATCACCAGATACCGAGTGAACATTCCGGTTTTGTAACTGGAAAGGGTACTCGCGAACAAATTTTGAACGTACGTATTCTCATTGAGAAATGTCGTGAATTTAACAAAGCTCTGGTTTTGTGCTTTGTCGACTATGCCAAAGCGTTCGATTGTGTCCAGTGGAGGACGATGTTCGATGTGTTGGTAGAGATGGGTGTTCCTGAACATCTTACCTACCTTATACAGAATCTGTACCTTGATAGCTCAAGCTTCGTGAAATTGGAAAACCAGAAATCTAAGAGCTTCCACCCAGAACGAGGCGTACGCCAGGGCTGCATTCTGTCACCAAAAATATTTAATTTGTACGGGGAATATATGAGGAAAGCACTGGAAGGCTGGGACGGCGGTGTTGCAGTCGGTGGTCGAAGAATCTGTAACTTAAGGTATGCAGATGATACGACAGTAGTTGCATCGAGTTAAGTGGAAATGGCGGCACTTCTAAAGATAATTGAAGTCGAGAGTGCAAAAGTAGGTCTTAAAATCAACCATTCTAAAACTAAAATAAAGGTGGTAGACCGAGCACAAACACTGCTAGTCTCCGATGCACTCAATGGATATGAAAAAGTCAGCCAATTTGTATACCTTGGGTCGCTGGTATCCAACGATGGCAGCTGCACTGATGAAATTCGTCGTAGAGCAGGTATGGCCAAAAGTGCTATGACTAGACTCGAAAAGATATGGAAGAACCGTGGTATTCGACGTGCAACTAAGTGCGCTTGGTACGAGCATTGGTCATCCCTATTTTTATGTACGGTGCCGAAGCGTGGAGCATAAGAAGCCGTGATAGCAGTAGAATCGATGCGTTCGAAATATGGTGTTGGCGTAGGATGCTCCGTATTCCTTGGATTGCCAGGAGAACCAACGACTCAATACTAAAAGACTTCAACATCACGAAGCGGCTTTCTTCAATTTGCCGTGAACGGGCCCTCTGCTTTTTTTGACACATTATGCGATCTTCAAGGCACAGTCTAGAAAAGCAGATAATTACTGGCCAGATGAACGGCAGACGTGCTCAAGGCAGGGCACTGACAAGATGGGCTGACGCGCGGTTCACACCGCCTACGACCGCACACAGTGGAGGAGAACATCATGTGGTCACGATCCTCAGCATTGAGGGACCGAGCAAGAAGAGAGAACCGCCTGCTTGTATGACAACTTTTCACTAAGAAAAAGTGATGATAAACATACATACACATACATTCAAGTCTGACATAACGTTCTCGCCCGTGCTAGGGTGTGTATAATGAGTAGGCATTTTAAAATATTTGCATAATTAAAGATTGCTCAGTGACACCCCAGAGTGTGAAGATCTAATAGCTACAGAGAGACAGAATGATTTATGTCATCATAATTATACTTACGCTTTATATGACTATATTGTATCCCACCCAAAGAGTATTTTTAAAGCAAAATCACGTTTATCATACAATATTGTTCTTATTGTTGAAGTATATTGAATATAAAAAAAATAATTCTGTCACCTAACTTTTTCGTATTGCTTTACAAATATGTCGGTTTTCCTTTCATTCTTCAGGTTACAGCTATGGAAGGCACTGAGACAACAACGTTGCAGGTTATGAAATCCTTAGAAGAAGCTCTGAAGGATGTTTCTGATAAAAAGCAGCCACTTCACGAAAGACTAGGGCCTGCCCTAGCCGCGCTGTTGCACACGACTCAAATTTCCGATTTGGGTATTAGTTTTGGAGTAATCCTTTCACAGTAAAAATTAGTCTTTATACGATTTTATACTACCCGTTAAAGTACGCATTAAGATGAGTCACTGCATTGCCTGAACACCAACTTAAGCAAATCAACATCAGCCCTCATGGTCCGGGTTAGATTGAACCAGTAATAAATAATGATTTTTATTAGTTCAACTACTCATAAAGTAATTCGATCATTAAAGATAATTATTTAGCTGCAAATCGAGAGACAATTAAGTGGTGTTAAAAACTGTGTCCCTTAAAGTAAGGAATCGATGGTGAAAACTTAAAACTGAGAGAACGACGACTGCGTTTTGATTTATACGTATCACATTCCTTCGAATCCATCACTTTGTCATCTATAGTATAAACAATTGAATTCATAATATTTCTTGTTACCTATTTAGACGTATGAATCTCTTAATTGTTAAATAAAACATTTTGCAGCAACCGAAGAGACAATGACGCTGCTCGTTAACTCTTTAATCGACGAGGAACACCCGCTTACTATGGAGGCCATTAATCGTATCCAAATCTCAGACATCATGGATGACATAAGAGGTGGGATTTCTAGGCGTATAATTAAAATTAAATAAACGCCATAACTGTAAATACCATTTTAAAATTTTATTCCTACTGAAAAATTCATCTAACTACATATAACCTTACATGTAAAGACTGCTCGGAGATACAATTTTAATACGATAGATTTAATCAATTCAAAATAAAAAAAAACATTTGCGTCCGTTTAGGTTTCGGTCACAAGAAGACTGATTTCCCCAGCTGAAAATATTGTTAACTGACGTTATGTTCCTGACTAATTCATCTAAAATGTTTGGGTGTTATTTTAAAATCTGTTGATGATTTTCTTTATTTCCAACACGAGATTGCAATAAGAAACTTTTATTTATAGTAGTTTATTCATCTTATTTTAAAGGTTACACAATCAACTATTTGAACATCAATTACTCCAATCTATGTAGGTAGCATCGTGAAAAACATTTTTTACTTTCAGCCCAACCATAATGATGTTTATTTTTGATAAAAGGCTTTTTAATGTTATGGAATAGTGCTGTACAAATAAAATGTCACATCCATTTTGTTTATTTTAAACTGTTTGCGCAACTAAATATTTCTGCTGCTATGCCACCATTTCCTATAAAATAGCATTATAAATGTGGCTAGGTACATTGGATTGTTATTGTGCCAGAAACCACGGTTTTGCATTCCATAGGATGCACATTTTGTCCTTTTAAGATTTCGATATACATATGTATATGATTTATCAGATTGTGGTGTCGGAGCTTCGTTGCAAGAATTACGGAACGTCGTGAAAATGGCTGTAATGTGTTTGCGCTCACAGCTTGTTGGACCCGATGAAGCAAAGTCCTTGGATGCGGAAGTTAATAAAGCATTTTCGATTAATTCCAGTAAAATATAATAACAAATATAACATGTAAAACATTTTAAATTAAATACTTTTGAAATGCTATTATATTCTTTGTTTTATTAACGAGGAATAAAATTTATTTGCACACACAATCACTCGAATCTAATAAATCATCACTATAATCTATACATATAATAAAAATGTAACTGATCGTTGTCTGTACATGGAAGATAATTAAGAAAAACTATTATTGGAGCCCTTTATCAATGTATAGAACAGTAGAACCCAAAACAATTATTGTTAAAATTTTTGTCTGTTTGCCTGTCTATTTTTCTGTTTGTCTGTGCATTTGTGCGTTCTAGTCTCTGAAACGGCATCCGATTTGGGGACAAATTTCGCTAATGCATCGTAGTAAGCTTCACTTAACATTGTGTTACTTTTATTTAAATCGGTCATAAATAAAAAATTTACATCAACTTAAAGAACCACAAGATTTGTGCGATAAAATTCTATATAATAACTACAGTTGAATTGGATGAAACTATAGTTAATTATATATATGGTCTGTAAAATGATAATGATTTTAAGTTTATATGCAGTTATAAAAACCGGCCCAGTGCGAGCAAGACGAAGGGTTTCGTACCATTATCTATATAAATGCAAAAAAAAACATGTCTGTTGTATGGGAATCCCACTTAAATATTTTTCAGTTTTCTAGTATTTGTTGTTATAGCGGCATAATTTCAACTGTCTAACTATCACAGTCCAAGATATGCAACCTGGAACCAACTTCCTTAGGTTAGATTCGCGACCGGATCTGCTAAACAGGAAATGAGCCAGGAACCAGGGAAAGCGGCGGGCCGATATCGACCTGTACCGCACTAGAAAGTATTTCTAATATTAATGGGATGGGCCAAAATAAGAGGATATCTTTATTCTAATATTATAATACGGTATAAAATTTAGTACATGCGGGCGGGGCACGGGCGAAGAGCTGGTCAAATGTTATAACCATCAGGCTATCAACGTTTTTATGATAAGCATGTCAGATAATGCTTTAATAGTCTCGGGACTGAAAGCAAAAACATCAGTTAATACAAGATATGATATTCATTTTTGAAGTGCTAAACTATAATAAAATTTAAAATTCGTAGAAAAATTTAAGCTTTTACGACATTGCAAGGATTTGAACCTGCATCCTCTGGGTAACGCGGTTTCTGTTTACCTAGCAACTATGTTAGTTAACTGTGTGTCGATGGATCCCAAAACGTACCCAGTTAAGTACCTAATCCTTTTTGTGGCTTTAATATTGACTTTTCAGTGTTTATGCATCATTCCCAGATTTCCTAGAACTTCTATCATTTTGATTTACTACCAAAAGGTCGCGTAAATATACCAATATTCTTATTGATCTTTCTGGCGTGTATTGCGCTATTCAATTCGTGAGAATAACAAAAAAATTTCGTGGTCGTCGGGTGGTTCACTAGAAGTGGTTTAAAAGAGTGGTGTAAGTAATGATCTCCAGGATTCCAAGCAAAGCTGCTTCGACAAGAATCATGAAAGCGTTAATTTATCGATTTGTGCTGCACTAGATACCTAAGACACATTTTATAATTGTCTTCAATCCATTATTTTAAGACTATCATATAACCTTATAGTAAATGTTAATAATTTGGGCAGAAATTAAAACATTTTGTTATGATGAAAAAAAGGACAATCACTGCTAATGATTAATAACGTAAGTTCAAAAAACTTACGTTCGGAAATGTAACTTCTTTTACAGTGTTTTTGATAACAAGTAAGAAACAAATCATATATTCATGTCATACCTACCTATCAAGACAAGAATTATGGGGCATCAATTGGTTGACTTTGTCTTTTTATTTATTTAATTAAAAAAATAAACGGCAATGGCAACACTTTGATGTAGAAAAAAATTGCAATGAATATTTTGTTCTTTACAAATATGTACTTATAATTTGACATAAATATATTTATTCTAGTGCGAATCAATGTAATGACTACAATATTTACGTGATAATAGAAATTACTAAAGATTTTTGTAGTCATGTATAGATTTTTACCACTTATGAATTCGTGTTACATTCGTTCACATAGTGCCTTTTATTGAGACTTCGTGGTTTATAGTAATTATTATGAAGAAACGATATTTATGTATGCAAGAATAACGACCGTCAATGAATTTGTTACAAAAAAGTGGATGCAATAATTAAGTACATGTCAAAATTATGCCATGTACGCTCCAGATCATCTTAGGAGGAAAGAAGTCAGAGATGTTATGTACCGCAGCAATTCGAGCCTTGACTTGATATACACCGACCATCAATCAGGAAATGGTTTACGACGCGAATATGGAAGCCATGGTTCTATTGACGTGATTGGTGGCACTAGTGAAAGATTACCAGCAATGGTACATAATTACAGCGGTGTTTCAACGCCGGACAAGCCCCCCGGATTGGGTCGTGCAGCTGACCGCTTGGCTGAAGTATTGGCCAGCGATCATGCTGATGGACCAACACCAAGGTCTAGTATTAGCCCTAAGCCTCGTCTCAAGCTTAATAAGCTATGGGGCGGGGCAACACCTGTTCTACCACGTCAACCTCTAGACGACGGTGCAATTAATTCATCTGTCACGGAGGAAGCCAAGAAAAAACAGTTTGCACATTATGACTGCCAGTCATTGATGGCAAATTTAAGTTATGCAGCTGAAATTCGTGGGGCATTATTAAGCAGACGTCGCAACACAACTACTGGAGCATCAGCAGCATCACTACTAGCAACTCGTGGTTTGCCAGCTGGAGAAGATTCAATACCAGACACTGGTGACGGGCGGTCTAATGAGCTGCTTGAAAGTTGTCCTTTTTTCAGAAATGAATTAGGTGGTAAGTATAAAAGTATATTAAAAAATAAGATTTTCATGTGAAAATAAGTTATAAATTTTTATTTTATGATACACCTATCAAGGTATATGAAATTCCTTAACAGTGACTCATAGGACAGGTTTCATTGCCAAGCATTCTTTAACAAACAGAATGGACAATCCTTAAACTTTAAGTAATAAGTTGCGAAAGTTATGTAATGTATGTGATTGGAAAAAAAAATATTACATTTTTTTAAAAGTAGTTTTTTACTAAAATAGAATATGTAATTGAACTATATATCCCCAAATACCTACAATAGTATAAAAATATAACAATACAATTCTTTGCAAAGCTTGATCAAATCAAATTTTAAGTTAATTAATTATCAGTGTTTATTAATCAAAATCAGAAATCCAAACATATCATGAAAACATTGAAAAATCAAAGAGATAAGCTTAACATACAAATATAATTTAGATTAGAATTGATTGAATTTGTTTGAAAAGACTTGATAAGTAGTTATTAAAAAATTAAACTTTTTTATGAATTTATCAAATATATTTTTAGTTTAACATTCCTATATTTAATAGCTTTACAGCAGTGTTTAAAAGCTTTTCATCTAAGAGAGGGGTATTAGACGAAATAATGAGGCCGCTGAAATCACATTTAATTGATATATTTTCTGACCTGTGTGATTGACAGTTTCTGACCTATCGGAGAGTCTTCATCAGGGTGAAGTGAGTTGAGTGCAGGACAGCCCGCAACTGCGAACTCATCCCACTCACTCTGATGTAGGACCGCTGGTTGGTCCAAAACTAATTGCTACATACATTGGCTCAACATGAGTTTAACCATCTTATTATTTCATTAATAATGTCTTATAAAAGTTTTAATAATTAGAGCTGTTAGACGTCTGATTGACATTGTTAACAGGCTGCCGTCAGTTTTTAAAATTACTTTGTGTAAAAATAGTTTAATTTAGTAAGATGAGTAAGTTGTTACTTACCCTAGTTATTGAGTGACTATGACATTCTATTGTTTATTGAAAAAGTTAATTTGAAATGAAATGTCCTATTGTACAATACTCAGTGCTTTTACCATCTTTGATGACCTGACATTACCATTCAAAAATTGGCAAAAAAATAAATATGAAATTGTTATGAAAACAGTCAAGTATCAGCCTATACATGTCCCACTGCTGGGCAAAGGCCTCCTCTGTGCAGAGGGTATTATGAAAACAGTACACATCATTAAATGAAACTATTTTTCTAGAAAATTTATTTTTAAAAATAGATTAAAATACATTTCACAAATGTTATGCCTCTTTAAAATTCAATAAATGTAGATATTTTAAACGGTATTTTATAATGTTACATGCTCAGTTTTTTTTTGCCAATTTGTCTAAGCAGATATTGAGAATTGCAAAAATGCTTAAGATCATCAGATGAATATTTGATAATTAAAACAATTCAATTTTATTCTCTTTAAAAACTAACAAATTCACTGTTAGTATTATGCAATTTATTTCAACCTTTTTTATACTCAATACTAAAATAGTGAATGTAGAAATTTAAATTATTTTTTTTATAGTGCTAATCTCTGCACTTAAGATTGAACATTAAAATATGTAAAAAAATTACGAAAAGATTGTCGCCGATGTGGGAGTCGAACCCAGGTCTTCGGCATTCGCGGCGTGACTTTAATTTTTTTTAGCATTGCTTCAAATGCTAAGAAAAAATGTAGATAAAAGACGTTAAGATTTTCGTAGGTGTGGCAATCAACCGTTTAGTCTAGTGGCTAAAGCGTCAGGCCGCGAATGCCGAAGACCCCACGACTTCGGCATTCGATTCCCACAGTAGTACTTTTTCTACATCCTATTTTAATGGTGAATGGTGAATTTTGGTTATATAAATGAAATGATACATAAACTATAATTAAAATATTTTAACATACATCACTAATGCTCTCCACTTGGTTTTATTTAAAACATTGTGTCTTCATCTTCATCAAGGTTTTCCCCTTCTAGAGATAGATTTAAAATTGATTGATTTCACTGATAATTCTTCATATTTGGTCATTACTGAAAATCAGCGTTGTAGTTTCACTGCAACATTCTGCTGAGTGATGTCCTTTTTGGCATGAATCGCGACGTACTTTATTGAAAAGGGAAAATATGCATATTGGAGTTTTATGTTCATGTCTTTTTTGTCTAATTTTTATTGTTTTAAGTGATTGTTGTGTACGTCAGTCTGTTTTATGTCAAATAAATCTCTTTCTTTCTTTCTTTCTATTTAAATTAAAATATTATAAGAATGTAATATTAATAACCACTTTGAATAATTTACAGGTGAAGAAGAGCGTTGTATTTCTTTATGCTCACGAACAGCCCGTGGTGCTATACCAGGGCAATATGGAGGATGGCACAGGCCCCGTGCAGCTTATGGTTTTTCAGTCTTAGAGTTTCCTCCAGGACAAACACATTGGCGACAAGGTTGTCCATTCACAAGATCTCTTGCTCCTTTGCCTGTGGAAAGCCAAGACCTTGGAGCACTATATTATAGAAATTATTTTTACACCCAATGTAAGTTTTCACAATTGCAATACAAAAAAAATTTAAAATCTCTTAAACATATTGAGGCACACCTTTTTTTATTTGTTTTTTTTTTTTTTTTTTAATTATTCTGCAGCACATCAAAATTGGTTTGGAATGGACGAAAATCTTGGGCCCATAGCGATATCAATTAAAAAAGAACGGGTTGAGTTACGACGGGGTGGTGCAGACGTATCAGCCCCTGCTTCACAACTAGCTTGGCAGTATCGCATTATAGTGCGTACTGCCGAATTGCTTACTTTACGTGGCTCAGTGCTAGAAGACGCTTTACCCACTGCCAAACCCAGCAACAATAGTGCTACATATAATACCAAAGATGTTTTGGAATATATTGCTCCGGAAATACAACTAAGCTGTTTAAGGTACAAATAATATACATAATTGACTTTTTATATGTTCTTAAATTTGTTGCAAAGCAGCTAAACAATAAGATAAAATTTATTTATATATACAGCATGGCATTACAACCGTGACCGTAATTTAACTTTACTTGCCATTAATCATAAAAAAATATAAATGTTAAAAAAATAATTAAAGATAATAATTTTCAAACAGACTAATTAAATAAAAAAAAAAACAAAATTTGTAACATCCTATACAACTAGAACTGATTTTTTCATTTGTTGCCACAATGTCGCGTTACAAGTCTCTCCTTAAAGTTTGTTTTATCTCTTTTAAATTCATTCAACCAATTTATTGCTTTGTGACCTTTTCAAATTAACTCTAAGTTACAGTTTTATACATAGGCTGTTTTGGAAAATTGAATAACTGTAAATATTGATGTTTAATGTAAGTAAATATATAAAGGAATTTAAAAAATTATACTCGATAAAGGGTGGCTTTTCTAAAGATGCCCAAATTCACATTGCTATGTTGTATATAGAAATAGTAGTCTTGTGAATAATTTTGGATTGGAAAATTTAAAATAAAAACAGAAATAAATTTTCAGACTAGGCATTACGAATAGTGGCGCAGAAGAACAGTTGCTGCGTTTAGACGAACAATGCGTTACCAGACATTACAAAGTTGGAGTGATGTACTGCAAAAGTGGACAGTCAACAGAAGAAGAGATGTATAACAACCAGGAGGCCGGTCCGGCATTTGTGGAGTTTCTCCAAATGTTAGGACAGACTGTTAGATTAAAAGACTTTGACAAATACAAAGCAGGGCTAGACAATCGGACTGATTCCACAGGACTTTACTCTGTATACACAACATACCAAGGCTGTGAAATAATGTTTCATGTGTCCACAATGCTTCCCTATACGCCAAACAACAGGCAGCAACTGTTGAGGAAACGGCATATTGGCAATGACATTGTCACAATAGTCTTCCAGGAGCCTGGGGCTGCACCATTCACGCCTAGAAATATTCGATCTCAGTTCCAACATGTTTTTGTAGTTGTAAGGGTTATTGATCCGTGTACGGAAAATACACATTATAGCATAGCTGTGAGTCGTGCTAAAGAAGTGCCTTTATTTGGACCTCCAATAAAAGATGGCGCCGTATATCCGAAAGGCGATTCTTTTACTGATTTGCTACTTAGTAAGGTGAGATTAATAATTATAATATTATTACTAAACTAAATCTTTCTTAATTAATGAATTAGAATCTATGATGCTAGTATCATTCAGCAGTAAAATATTTATAAGTACTACTTGTAATTATGCTATAACTACAAACATTTACATTTTCCAGTTAATGAGGTTTAATTCAAAAATATTAATGTTAAATTGATTTCACAGATAATAAATGGTGAGAATGCAGCTATTCAATCGCCGAAGTTTAGTACTATGGCAACGCGCACACGTCAAGAGTACCTGAAAGATTTAGCCAAGAACTATGTTACGGCGACTACTGTTGAAAGTGGCCAGAAATTCTGTAAATAATAGTTTTTTTAATTCTTTATAATATAGTTGTAAACAGACAGCAAGTATAATTTATCATATAACTTATATAACGCATTATAATAGATGGTAATTCAACTTTGAAAATTGGGCAAAAATGAAATGAATGAAAACCCCAAAATTTGTTTCCAATATGTAAATTAAAAGTTAGCAACCTCATAGTTGGGATTTCGATGCAAGATTAAAACCTTGACTGAATATCTCTAAAAGGCTGCATTTGTAATGTTGCAAAACTTTCAACCATAAATCTAAGAATGATTAACTAGTAAGGTATATTGAAATATAAAATTACAATATAACATCTTAATTTTATGTTTTTAAATATTTCAGCAATCTTCTCATCATTACTGATGAAAAGTGGGAACAACTCTAATAGCAACTCACTTATTCCTCGTCTCGACAACTGCGCAAACGACGTTCTAGTTGGAGGTGCCTTGTGCTTCCATGTAAGTGGGATATTGATATAGCTATTTAACTTTAAAACTATTTATTATCACTAACCAATGTTTTGGAATTACTTATGACGTATGTGTTATAAATGTCTGCCTGTGAAGAATTTCTCTTAAATAAAGGTACATATTAATAAGTTTTATTTTTTACAATCTTTATAGTAAAATTTTTCTTAATTGTATGAACAAGGGAAAAATTGGTTAAGCTTGTTTTAAAACATTTGGCTTTTTAGATACTTTATAAATTTAATTAAATATTAAAGTAGTTAGTAATTTAATAAAATAGTAGTAATTTAATTAAACAGATTTATCTATTTATTGCCTTAATTTCAGGTTCAAGTTCAGGATGAAGGGGCTGGTGGTTCTTTACTCGACTGCATCATGGGGGTGTCTGCCGACAGTATAGTACTCATAGAGGATAGTTCTCGGCAGATTGTTTTAGTCTTACCTACCAATACATTGCTTGGTATGTTTACTTTTATGTTTTAATACAGTCTAACATTACCCATATTTCAACCAAGTATTTTTTCCAGTTTCTAGAGTATATTGAATTAAAAGCGATCGCCCAGACGATGACCTATCACGCCTATGTAATAGTAATTTCACCTCATAGCAAAGTAAACTCACTTTAAGCCTATCCACCCTAGCCTACTGTCAAGGGTTGACAAATAGTTATGCCGTTTGTGAATCGAACCCGCGACCGATGCCGAAGCCAATACTTTGGCGAATGCGCAACGGAATCATGTTTGAGCGTATGGTCTACATGACATTTGCAATACTGGTTTGATGTGAAGGCGGATTTATAATCCCTCCCTGATCCAGGTTGGGTCGTGAGCGGCGGCTGGAGCCGCGTGTACTACCACCGGGGCGAGAGCGTGCGCGTGAGGGGCGCTCCGGACGCCCTCTTGCGGCGGCTCGCGAGCGTCGCCCCCCCGCACGCGCACGCGCTCAACGAGATCACGCTGGAGCGGGGCCAGGCGGCGCAGCTGGGTCCGTTCCGTGTTATTTTTTTTTAACACGTATAAACGAAGGAAACGAGCAGGCAGGTTGTTCAGCCGGAAACGAGGCTTTTGTGACTTTCCATTAGCGTATTCGCCCTATGTTAAGTGACCGGCATTCGTTACCATCGACACTCGTGTGGTGGTCGGTATCGGACGTTTTATAGTGTTTCCCCGATATCCCGCTCACCGGGATAGGCAAAAGTATAAATACTTCTTTCCGGATCTCGAATTAACTCACGGCTCATTTCTATTTTCCCTGAAAATATATAATATACTAGCGGACCGGACAGACGTTGTTTTAAATTCGAAAACTTCAAACCTTTTGAATAACTTTGTGAATCTAAACCATTCTCAAATTGACCTGAAGACACAAAACATTTCATAGAAATCAGTTCAGGCGTTTAGAAGGTGTTCAGTGACATACACACGTACAGAAGAATTGTATACATATATAGATTAAATATTTTCCCTTTTTTTAAATCCCAAAACCTATCACCAGCAAAAGCCCTGGATAGATTAGTTTTGCGAATGCAAGAAAACTCAAGTATCAACAAAGTATACCGACACCGTTACATCGGGACGTGCTCTAGTTAATGACTTATGTTGCCCGACAGGTTTCCACGTGCAGCCGGACGGGCTCGTGACGGCGGTGGAGGGAGGGGGGTGTGCGGCGCGCGCAGGGGTGAGGAGGGGGGCTCGCCTGTTGGAGGTGTGCCGCGCCGCAGTCGTCGCGCTTCACCACGACCAGCTCGTCGACCTCCTCAAGACCTCCGACCCTGTCACCGTGAGTTTGTCCAACCCTTTTTTTTTGTTTACGTGGGGGAAATGTCCTCCCGGGAAGTTTGTCTAACCCGCGGGAAGGGGAAGCCTGAAATCAATACTTACCCTCTACCCGTAATATTCGTGTAGACACGTGTAAACGTAAAAAGTCTTTTTATGTACAACTAGTCCTACCTAATTAAAGGTTAACATTCCTTAATTATGTACGAGCATAACGCACGCTTTTTAAAAATATTGACTATGACGAAATTTATTTTACAATCCTGTTATTCAGACAGTGACGTTACCTATTTTCTGGGACGTAGACCGTGCGACCCTAATAAAATTACAATGGCGATCGTGAAGAAGTTTTTGTCTTTAAGAATATTATACATATAAAACATAATTAATAAGTAATTTAATGTCTCAAATGTTATGGCCCACTTTATCAATGCAAATGTGTTGCAAATGTCAATGGACGGCGGTCGTCACTTAACATCAGCTGGACCGCCAGCCCGCTTGCCACCTTGTCGCGTTAAAGCAAATAACATAGACTTGATATAGATAGATAGATAAATAAAGTTTCCCGTCACCAGGTGACGGTGACGTTCGCGACGAGCGCGCGCTGCGGCTGCGAGGCGGCGGGCGAGGAGTGGGCGGCGGCGACGGCGCGCGCCGACGCGCAGCAGCCGGGCCGCGCGCGCCGCCACGACCGCCACTCGCCGCCGCGCTCCGACAGCTCCGGATACGGCACCGGTACGCGCCGCGCCTCCTCTTGACCCACCCGCACTTGCGACGATAATAACATGATGACGTAAAGCTTTACTAAGGAATAAGCTGAAAATCAGCACTGAGAAGTTCTCAGAAATCGCTGAGCTTATTACCTTTTTGCCAAAATGAATGTATGAATGAATGAATATACTTTATTGCACACCAAAAGTACACACGTCTAACGCTACTTGCCAATAATCATTAAAAAATATAAACGTTAAACAAAATCCATAATTAAAAAAAAATATTTTTCAAACAAACTAATTAAGTATAAAAGAAACAAAATTTGTAACATCCTATACAACTCGCGCCACAGCGTCGTATTACAAGCCTCTCCTTCTAACAGTATTTTTTGTCTCTTTTAAACTCATTCAACCCATTCATATGCTTTGTGACCTTTAAAAATGAACTTTACGTTACGCTTTTATAGGTAAGGATGTTCTAAAATTCTTTGTTTTGGAAAATTTAATAACTCTGTAAATATTGATGTTTAAAGAATTTAAATGTTTAATACAACTTTAAAAAGTTATCACCTATATGTGTGTTCATTTATTGTCGCGATGGTAACGACACGCTGTATATACATACCATATATACGAATACATATATCATTGTTAGGGAATAACATTACAGGGATAAGTAATGATTTTTTATAAGATTTTTGAAAATATTTAATGACTGAGCACGCCTTCTAGTGGTCCTTCTAGTCATTCCAGAGTCGCGCCCCTTGCACCATAAATGATATTTAAAAATGTTATTTATATAGTTTTTTGTGTATTATAATTTTCTTTTATATCTTTTTCTTTGTTAATTTTTTTGGTTTATGGCAAATAAAGTACGTAAAAGTAAGTAAGTATTTACTTAATTAATAAACTAATAATCGAGACGGAACGCTTCCAAGCTCAAATTCAGAACGCGATGCTCCTCGATACCGCCCGCATCGTCCGCCGGTATTTCTCCCTCTCACCATAATTAAATTCCATATGACAAAAACCTTGTGAAAGCGGAAACAGATAAGACGAAGTATCCTTGCTCCTCCATAACGACCTGGCTCACAAGGTGACCGACATGTGGGATAGTGTGCCGACCGAAATTATCCCGATAGTCGTGTCTGCGAATGTATTGATCCCAGTTAGCCTCTCCGGACATCTGAGGCGACTGGGACTCCGGGACGGAATGCTCCAAGCTCAAACGCAGAAGGCGGTGCTCCTCGATACCGCCTGCATCGTCCGCTGGTTTCCCTCCCTTTCACCCTAACACTCGGCCGTTTGATCTCCCCTGCCGAGGGCTTCTGTCTGGTTGGGTCCTATTTATATATGTATTATACAGCGTGTCGTTACCACCGCGACAATAAATGAACACACATATAGGGGACAACTTTTTTTAAATTTTATTAAACATTTACATTCTTCAAACATCAATATTTACCGAGTTATAAAATTTTCCAAAACAAACAATTTTAGAACACCCTTACGTATAAAACTGTAACGTAAAGTTCATTTGTAAAGGTCACAAAGCATATGAATGGGTTGAATGAATTTAAAAGAGACAAAACATACTGTTAGAAGGAGAGGCTTGTAATGCGACGCTGTGGCGCGAGTTGTATAGGATGTTGCAAATTTTATTTATTTTTTACTTAATTAGTTTCTTTGCAAAATATTTTTTTTAATTATGGATTTTTTTAACGTTAATATTTTTTTATGATTATTGGCAAGTAGCGTTAGACGTGTGTTCTTTTATTGTCGCGATGGTAACGACACGCTGTATACAATATTTATATCTATATGTTTATTTTTATTTATAAATCCAACCAGACGAGAAAACAAATGAATATCTCCCCATCATAATAATAAAATATCTTTATTCGCATCGACGCTTGCGCGTTCTTATGAAACGTCGAAATTTTTCAAAGGAATTAATACCGTATAATAAAGGAATAAATATTCGTAAGTACCGGTTCTTAAAGCAGTTTTTTGAGAAGATAACGGCAAGAAACTCAACAGTTGCTCTTTTTTAAAAGGTCAGTTTACAATATAATGGTACATTCACTGAAGTACCGTTTTCAACTTCCACTTCAGCAACGACTGAAAAAGTAGGTGAATCATTGCTTTAAATGCACGGTAATTGTGAATACGAGAAACGGAAAAATTACTTTTTTTCCTTCAAGCGCGACTCAAAAGCCCTGCTAAACCTTAAAGCGTTCGATTCCGCAGGCGGGTCGGGGCGCAGCGTGCGCCGCTCCCCGCAGACGTCGCCGGTGTCGGAGAGCGCGCGCCGCTCTGAGCCGCGGCACGCGCGCCGCCCCCGCTCCTCGCCCGCCGCCGCCGTCGTGCCCGCCGCCAGCGCTACGGCCGCGCCGCAGACTAATTCTCTCACGGTCAGCTGCGCACTACATGCCCAGTTGTCGTTCTCTCTTCCCGAGTCTCATTCTATCTTTCTCCCGCGCCGCACACCAACTATCTCACAGTCACTACATGCTCTGTCATCTTTCTCTCTTCCCCATTCTCTTTCTATCTTTCTCCCGCGCCGCACACCAACTATCTCACGGTCACTACATGCTCTGTCATCTTTCTCTCTTCCCCATTCTCTTTCTATCTTTCTCCCGCGCCGCACACCAACTATCTCACGGTCACTACATGCTCTATCATCATTCTCTTTCTATCTTTCTCCCGCGCCGCACACCAACTATCTCACGGTCACTACATGCTCTGTCATCTTTCTCTCTTCCCCATTCTCTTTCTATCTTTCTCCCGCGCCGCACACCAACTATCTCACGGTCACTACATGCTCTGTCATCTTTCTATCTTTCTCACGCGCCGCACACCAACTATCCCACAGTCACTACATGCTCTATCACCTTTCTTTCTTCCCCATCCTCCCATTCTCTTCCTATCTTTCTCCCGCGCCGCACACCAACTATCCCACGGTCACTACATGCTCTATCACCTTTCTCTCTTTCAAATTCTCTTCCTATCTTTCTCCCGCGCCGCAGGACAACTCTCTCACGGTCACTACATGCCCTATCACCTATCATCCTCATTCTCTTCCTATCTTTCTCCCGCGCCGCAGGAAAACTCTCTTACGGTTACTACATGCCCTATCGTCTTTTTTATTCCCGCTTCTCGTCGTATCTTTCTTCTCACCTCTTCCCCCCTTTCGCCATGTATCCAACTCTCTCCTTCCCTCTTTTGTTTCTGATGTCGTCAGCTTAATTAATGTGACTCATTTAGAATCTGACGACTAGTTGTTTTTGTCTCTTTTCCATTAATCTACATTTTGAGAATAAATTCTGTGCTAACTTATTGTAAGACTTTTGCAAATAAAAAAAAACAATAATTTACGTGTAGAACGGGACCGAGAGTTCGCCCTGATTTTTAGCTGAGAATGACTGGAACCGAGACCGAGATCTCGGTGAACCTTTAATGTTATAGAGGTTTCATTCACGTTAACTGTTTCTTTAATAATTGGTAATTATAAACAACAACACAGGAGGCATTAACTTATTTTTATTTGGATATTCTAGGAGGAATTGATGCGTTTGATGGACGCGGAGTTGGGCGAGAGTGGGTCCCGCGGCCCGCCGCTGCCCCTCCCCGATGCGACGGCCCTGGACTGGGCCGCGTTAGTTCACACTGCTACGAGGGCAATGCTCCAGGTACGGAATACGAGAATAGTAAAAGTAACGTAAAGCAATAACCTATACATATTCCTCTGCTGGGCAATGCGCTCCTCTATACAAAGAGTATTAAGGCATAGTCCACCACGCTGATTGACATCCTAAGAGTTATTTTTTATTATTTCGAAAATACGCAGGTTTAATTACGATTATTTTCTTCACCGCCGAGCACGTGATAAGTCAGCACTTAAAATTATAATCAACAATTTCATTGGTGGCGTCACTGGGAATTGAACTCTAGTTGCTTGAGTGTATTGAATTAAAAACGAGCTGCCGGATACTGAGCTATCACGGCTCGTGAATTCATCTAGAGCCATATTTTGTACAATGTAAATTAAACTCGCACCACGAGATCAAACCATTAAAAACAGCGAATGAAGTACAAAGTCTTGCTAAACTTCAATGCGCCAAAGTCGAGTTAGCTCCGCAAGTACGGCGAAGTCGAGTGCAAAAGTGCTTATGGGAAACAATATTTTAAACATGTGGGAGGTACGTTTTTGAACTGTTCAAACCATAATATATAATTAGACAAACCTGGACCTCCTGTCTAACTTATGTTAGACATGGAGTAGTATCTTTCTTTATTAAGTAAAAATAAAATAGAATCGCAGATTACCCATTAAATACCAACTAGTTTTACCTGAATAGACTCGTGCTGAAAACCTCTCAATTACCTTGAAAAACATCTCAAGCATAATAAAAATATTTTCCCAGATTTGTGAAGAACATAACTATCCATCAATGGATAATATGGAGCCCTTGGAGAATGCTACTAACGAACCTATACAAGATTCATGGCACGAGACACCTGTTAGTATCTAATATTGATTACACAATAGTAGTTTTACATGGAAACTGTACTGTGTTAGGTGTACTTATTATTATTCATTTTGACATTTGTCAAGTCTGATTATGATACAATCTCTAGAAACACCTTTTTTCTAGAGATTGTTATAAGGCTCAATTTTACAGTTTAAGTAAAAGCTTTTAGCAAAATACGTAATTTGACAAACCATTTATCTTGCATAAACTGCATGCTGCAATATTTCCGCATTTTTGCAAGCAGTGAGTTAACGAATTGTACACAGATCCAGTGCTAATTTAATTTTGTGTGCTACCTTATACTTGCTTACTTTAAAGACGTTACTTGGTCTTTCGTATTTCATATATCCCACTTACGATAGTATCGTCGTATCTTTCCATCACGGCTAAAAAACAATTGAATAACGTAAAAGGTATCCGAAACGTCGTTGTCCACCGTGACGTCGATGAGCCCCAGCGGCGCGTCCAGTGCCGGGAGCGTGGTCACAAGCGGGGCGACGAGCGGAGCGGCTGGAGGAGCGATTAGCGGGAACAACTGCGCGGTTGGAAACGGGACGGCTTGCGGCTGCGGACTCGCCGCCCGCGTTGCCGCTTTGGAAGCGGAATCGGCGAGCGCCCAGCGGCAGAACAACCAGCTGGAGGAAGAGGTACCCGGCCATTGCGAACCCCATCTTAGTGTCGCTGAATAAGCCTCAAATTCGAATCAACTCGAAGAAACTGTATACGGCGCATAACAAAGCCCCGTTTTAACCTCTAATAACCAGAAAATGTTAATTGTTATATTAATCTTAAATATAATATAAAACTATAATAATAGTTTATAGAAAAACAGAAATACTATTTTGATTTTGTTTTTTTTTTTTTTTTTTCAAAGACTAATGGTTTTCTAACAAAACAGTAAAAAGCTTCAGTGCAATCTGTAACCTTTCGTCGGGCTCTGTTTTATAAAGCAAAAACTTACAGACTGGTTATTTACTATTTTACATCCTTGCCTGGCCAACGAAATTATAAAATAATTCCTACGACCCAATGTAACAGGCTGGCTGCTGGCTTACTGTATTTAATTTATTTTCTACTCTTGGTTACATAATACTGTTAAAATTTCGTCAGCGTAATATGAATATGAAGTTTCTGCCTAACGGAAGAAATTTAGGCTGCACATTAAAAATTAAGTCCTTTTATAGGTACTTGTGGATACAATCCCATTGAACCTACCTAGCGAGTATAAAAACTGAGAGAATCTTGTTTATTGAAATTATGATTTAATTTTAACTTGTAATTTAATATATTACTTACTGTTCGCATTTCTAGACCATGCTGGTCTAAACTGAACCTGAATCTTCAACCTAAACTTACCTTCTTCTTCAAGTCTTATAAGATAAAATGAATAGTTCTTTGATGAGACTATTTCAATTATTTTTATATAATATGACCTGTTACAATTTCAGGTACGACGTTTGAGACGTCACAACGCCCGCTTACGGGAGGAATCTGCAAGAGCCGTTTGGCAACTACGTCATTTCACCCAGTGGCTTAAGAGAACCGTCGACAGACAGTGACCTTATACCTTAGCTCCATACCACCGGATTTTCCATTCTGTTTTAATTATTCTTATTATTCTCATACATTTCTATTACTTGTTGGCTGACTGGGCACCTCAAGCCTCATTGTTTAATTATAGGTTCGTGTGAATTATAAGCATTCTCCCATATTTTAATAAATTAGTAAAATGTTAATTACAATTGTCAATTTGTGTCCACTCCAATAAAGGTATCATACCGTATACAAAAACAGCTGTGTAACTTTGTGTTGGCCTAATATTAGTTCATATTATACTGTTGTATGGCCTTTAGACACGATATACGTAAACGTTAGGCGTAAAATGCATTATACAAAAAAAAACCGACATCGAAATATATACATTGATGATACATATTTACTAAATCTAGTTGAACTTTCAATTATGAATACATCATACTATCTATAAACATGTGAATTAAGCGCTGTTTCTTATGAATTTCGTGCCTTTGTGTGCTTTTAATGAGGCCTTTGTTTGGCGAACGTTACGTGATACGTTGGTAGTAGTGATACCATGTAAGCATGTTCATTTGTTATCGGCTGAATTATACAAGTATATTGAACGTTGCTGTTTCTATGTATCTCATTAACATAATAGTTGCGTCTTGTTACATTACTAGTAAGAGTTGTATGAACATTTAGACATTAGATTTTATCGAAATCGTATTTTATATATTGTCACTTAATTAATTTATTATTACGTTTAGATGTCCAAAAATAATTATTAAAGTAATATTAAGTAAATTCGAACACCAATTTGACGTAGTGTATAACTAAGTATACACTTACGCGCAGCGTGTTTATCCGTGAACTAAATTAAAGTAAATTTTTTTATATGCAGTTAGATTAACTTTCAACATTTTCAACATGATTTTTTTTAGAATAATTTAGCATTTGATATATAAGTGATTAGTACATAATTTTTATTGTAAACAGACTTGAACCTGCCAAATATTATAACAGTAAGTATGATTTCATTAGCACAAAGCTACCTTTTTTTTTCATAACAGAAGAGATTCATACTTAGTAATGTTTAATGTCATCATTTTTTTTTTAAATCACTAACCACAAACTCAAGATTAAAGGTAATCCTATTTAGAATCAGGATATTTAACACAGTAACATTTTTATTTCCAAATGACATATTGTTAAATTATCATATAATATTGATGTTATAAGCAATTGGTAGGATATTTCCTATAACCTCTTTTAACAGACAAAGAGGCAAGGAGTATTTTTCCATGTAACTCATTTTTGTGAGCTACACACTAACACATTTATATCATGTCTTCTCCGGGTTCAGCATGCATAATTTTCAAATATTTAACAGAACTACAATATTACTGCATAATCCGATAAAACCCCATTGTTTTAAAACTATTTCTGTTAACAGAATAAATTAATGTTATTAACAAGGATTTTCTTTCAAATAACGTCCTGATTCATAGCTGGAGTACCTTTAAATACCTTGGATACTATATCATTGTTTCACCATCTACAATAACCTAACTTTCGTACATTTATGTACATACAAGTGTAATATAAGATTAGATTATCATGATGAAATGAAAGCTTTATTAGTTTAAGTCCTTTTTTTATGGTTTTGTACGAAAAAAATGTGTCTGTATCATACTTTTTAAATGTTGAAGGTTGTTCTTTTTTTAAACAGTATTGCATAATTATTCGTCAAAGCTTGTTTTTCCTATTTATTTTTACGATTCAAGGGAAATTTAATAACAATTTATAAATCAATCAAAATGCCGAATTATGAAGATTTATCTCATGAAATTAGTAGATAAATCTACACAATTTTGAGCAGACAAGTTATTCATAATATTTGTCACACTTTCATTATTTCTGACAACAAAATGACTTTGAATATTTGTATGAATATTTTTATTTAAATGAGCATGTGTGGAATTAACAACATTTGTATATTTTAGTTGTATATCGTGTGTTAACAAAAAATCGTAAATTATTAATAAGTTAAAATAACGCTATTAAATTGTTATAACTTAAGGAAATGGTTAATCCATTTTAAAAATCCGGTACATTTAATGTTGTTATATTGCTTATATTGGTTAACATTGGATTAATTACCAGTTAGAGTATCTGACCTCTGGGTCACCACTTTGAACTAAAATTTTTAGTTTTTTTCGTCTGTGTAGAAATATGAAATTGTTTTGCAATCCACTCATTCGCACTATAACGATAAATTGTTTTGATAACTTTGAACCTAAGTGAAAATGCCAATTGCTTGTGACATGATTACAGCCTGATCGACTACCGCCGGATTAAGGAAGCGAAACTCTCAGCACTAAAAAAGTTTTTTCGTAATGTTATTAATTCTCCTCCCCTTGTGTCCATAATCTAAAAACTTTAATGTTTTTTGTTGTGGTCATTGTTGAACATATACTTGATTAGTATAATCTGTACGACTATAACAAATCGAAGCTTCCGCAGTTTTAAACCTTCCATTGTTATAACCTGCAATACATCAATTTAAGTAAAAAACAATCACACTTCTAATATTCAATACTAAACCTTGACGAGTTGGTACTTGGTCATTATTATGACATGACGACATGCTTTGTTGCTGTCACACAATGTTACTGGGTGATAATTAAGAAAACTTTTGGTATAAAAATAGGTGCTGTATTTCAATTTTGACACATTTATTCATAATAGTTTATCACTATGTATTATCGTTATAATATAATTCATTATTGCAACTATGTTATAATAAATTTACATTTACATAACTTCGACTGATATATTGTATCCAAGTATAAGCTACTGTATTGTATTACTAACATGAATTCACAAGCACTTCCCACCATTTGATATTTAATAATTGTAGGTTTTAAACTGATATGAATCTAAACATGTGTATATGTTTTGCATATTTCTAGTTTTGTATAAAGAGCCAAAGTGTTTATGTTAAACGCCATAATAAAACATCTTGAACGTACTTTTACCCACGTAGTATGGAATTGTTTTATCTAGATTTGATCCGCATATTTTCTTCTATTTGTAGTGAATTAGTAACATTCCAATAAATAAAGTATATACCAAAGAGTTGTGTATTCGTTCTTCTCTCTTTACTCAAGTCAAAAAGGATTGCATTTCATAATTTTTTAATTAAAATTCATTCATCATCATGATCATTTTAGTCTGTTAAATTGAACATTAATCGAGAAGCTTGAAAATAAAGAGTTTCGGGTATATGTATCGCCCTGTCTTACACCCTTCTGCAGCTGGAAAGGTGCAGTAATTACTGAACTGTATTCGGACTAAAATTGTAACCTCGCTACAATACAATACAGATACCTCTATACCAGCACCTCGATATACCAACAGTCAATTTGGCACCGCTGAAGGGCCTGAGGTACCGCCCAAATTTAGACAGAATCGAAGGCTTTCTCATAGTTCATATACGTCAGACAGAGAATATACTTCTCGGTCTTCTGTATAATCTGCAGTGTAGGTATATGTCTACGGTACTTAATATGGTTTTCGGGATCCGGCCTGTTCATGAGGCTGCAATGCAAGACTGAACTGAAGTGCAAGACAAGACGATTAAAGATGAATTATCTATTATGATGATTAAAGATCATTATAGAGATAACAGAACATAGACGCGGTTCAAAAGGGATAAAGGTCTATAGTTCCTCAATAGAGGGTTATCGCCTTTCTTGAAAAACAAAAACCATCCTGAAGATGAGATATTACAGAGCGAACGAGATTCAAAGCTTCCGAAGGACCACAAGTATCGGTTCTCCACACGCGTTCAGAAGCTCCGCTGTAATTCCGTCCTCTCCTGGTGTTTTGGCATTTTAAACTTACTCAGACTGATGTTTGGGATTCAGACATAACATTTTTTTAACTCAAGTGACAAGTACATTGTTATAAAAATTTGTAGATAAAATTACAAAAAGGTTTTCGCCGCTTTGGGAATCGAACCCACGTCTTCGGAATTCGCACCCAGACGCTTTAACAACTAAGCTAAGCCGTCGACTGTGCAATTAGCTAATTGTATATATAAATAACTAACTAATTGGTGGCTGGGAGCGGTGAGAACCGCCCCGGAACACGGGTGTACCTTGTGTACGCGTTGTGTTGGTCTCGCCGTGCTCGGAGGCGAGGTCGAACTAGTGTGTTTGTTGTTGCACTAACTGTGGGCGTAGTCTTGTCCGGCGAGACCCCCGGCGGTGGGTCCGACGTATCTAAGTCCCCTTCCTCGACCGGGTCGATAAGGACGTTTCGCGGGCGACGCTTGTTGACGTTCGCGTTTGTGTCGGGTTGGTAATTTACTGCGCTTACCACCAGAGGGTTGGGATGATGTTCGGCTCTATCGAAGAACCGCTTGGTCATGTCTTTAAAATATTCGCGAATCGTCGGGAGTCTGCAATCGTTGTGCAGGTCGACGTTGCGTTGATACCACTGCGCACCGGTTGCGCGGCGGATGAACTTATTTTGTACTATTTGCAACTTGTAGAAGCGAGTAGGGTGCGTGTGGGCGAAGGTCATGCATGCGTAGGACATAACAGGTCGTACGCAGGTCTTATATAATAATAATTTGTGCCTTAAGGGCATTTTACTTTTGGCGTTAGTTATATTGTGTAGCCGGCCGGAGACGAACGCGGCTCTATTGCGAACGTTATTAATGTGCGTAGTAAATGACACACGCGAGTCGAAAGTGACTCCTAAGTATTGGACCTTTTTCCCCCAGGGCAGCGGTTGGCCATAAAGAAATATTTACCCCAACTTTCTGCATTGGCGAGGGCCATTATAAAGATGTGACGGGTAATTACTTCCTGTGAAGTGAATCGCCACACTCTTTTCGGGATTTATTTCTATACTCCATTTGCGGAACCAATCGCCGATGCGGTCGGCGGCGCTTTGGAGTCGAGTGGTTAGTTGGCTAAGGTTGCGATCTGAATAAAAGAGCGCCGTGTCTTCCGCGAAAAGCGCGAGA